GAGCCCAGTGGGTTACAACGACTGGGCCCAGCGGCATCCTCCTGGCCTCCTGTCAGGCAGCCCTGGGAGGCTGGGGGTGGCTGGGCCGGGCGGGAGCTAACAAGCCTTGCACACTGCAGACATGTCCTTCCGAAAAGTGGTTCGGCAGAGCAAATTCCGGCATGTGTTCGGGCAGCCGGTCAAGAATGACCAGTGCTATGAGGACATTCGCGTGTCCCGTGTCACCTGGGACAGCACCTTCTGCGCAGTCAACCCCAAGTTCCTGGCGGTGATTGTGGAGGCCAGCGGCGGGGGTGCCTTCCTGGTGCTCCCGCTGAGCAAGGTGGGGCCCGTGAGGGCTGGGGGAGGACTGGAGGTGGCTTGGCCACTCCTGCCAGACCTATCTGCTCACTCATCCCTTATCTTGCTTGTCACCACATCACTGGGCAGGTGTCAAAATCCACATTTACTGCCTAAGATGTGTCAACACAGGGAGACAGTCTTTTATGGCCATGGGGACAGGCTTAGAGACAATAAACATTCCCTGCTCACCTGGTGATGCCCGTGAGGCAGAGGTGGCCCGGGAAGAGGCAGTCGCATCTGAGCCACCCGTGGGCCAGGCCTGCCGCAGCATTCCCGTGCCACAGAGGGGGAAGTCTGAGGCTCTGGGAGAGACAGAGCTTGGGGGCCCTGAGTCCCCACCGACCGCCCTTCTCGTGCCTGCAGACGGGCCGCATTGACAAGGCCTACCCGACAGTGTGTGGACACACAGGACCTGTCCTGGACATCGACTGGTGTCCCCACAACGATGAAGTCATTGCCAGCGGCTCAGAGGACTGCACCGTCATGGTGAGGTGTGGGGCTGGGGTGGGTCCAGGGTCCCAGATGTGGTTCGAGGCTGCTGGAAGCAGGGCCGAGCACAGCCTTGGTTGCAGCTGCCCCCTCCCCCAGGTGTGGCAGATCCCAGAGAATGGGCTGGCCGCGCCGCTGACGGAGCCGGTGGTGGTGCTGGAGGGGCACACCAAGCGAGTGGGCATCGTCACCTGGCACCCGACAGCCCGCAACGTGCTGCTCAGTGCAGGTCCGCCCCGCTGTCCCACCCTCGCCCCGCTCCGCACACAGCCCCGGAGCCTCCCACACCCCCTTCCAGGCCCATCTGAAAGATGGGGAGGCTGAGGCCCTCCGGGTCGAGGGGTTGGGTCAGGTTGCAGGAGAGTGGTCAAAGGGGCCTGGTGGGCTGATGTCCCCGTCCTGGCAGGATGTGACAATGTGGTGCTCATCTGGAACGTGGGCACGGCGGAGGAGCTGTACCGCCTGGACAGTCTGCACCCCGACCTCATCTACAACGTCAGCTGGAACCGCAACGGCAGCCTCTTCTGCTCTGCATGCAAGGACAAGAGTGTGCGCATCATAGACCCCCGCCGGGGCACCCTGGTGGCGGTACGTGGTCCTGGTGGGCGAGGGTGGCGGTGCGCAGGCCAAGGGGTGCTATCGGAGCACTGCAGCGACCGCTCTGCTCCCCCGACAGGAGCGGGAGAAGGCTCACGAGGGGGCCCGGCCCATGCGGGCTATCTTCCTGGCGGACGGCAAGGTGTTCACCACAGGCTTCAGCCGCATGAGCGAGCGGCAGCTGGCGCTCTGGGACCCGGTGAGTGGCTGTGGCCGGCCTGAGGTGGCAGGCTTGAGACTTAGGCCCCACCCTGGGCGAGAAGGGCAGGGGTCATCCTGGAGATACCTGGGGTTCCCAGGTTCTTGCCCTGGTGCCCGAGGCTCTCAGGACCGGGAGCCCCACCACGCCCCCCCCCCCAGCCCCTCCCTCTGCTCTCTGTCCAGCCCCACCGCCTCCAGCTGCCTCTAAGTCTTTGTCCGCATTGTTCTTGCCACCTGGAAGGTCTTGCCCTCCCTTGCTTACCTGTTCCCACCTGGCTGTCCTGTGAGGCCCAGTGCAGAGGCCCCCTCCTCCAGGAAGCTTCCCAGCCCTTTTCCCAGAGCGCCCTGTCCAGAGCTCTACTTGAGTATCCTTATCTCCAGGGACCCCTGAGACAGGCTTATGCTCCCGTGTGGTGGGGCCTCTCAGCGCCTGGTCAGTGATCTGAAAGTAGTCTAAAAAGCCTGGTGTAGGCCAGGGAACTGGGATGCTGGGAAGAGATGGGAGCCAGGAGGGCCTGTTGGGCACACTGTGGGCAAAGGCTTAGAGGTGAGAGAGGACCCAGTGGCGGGGTAGGGGCAGCGCTGGCTGGGCCGGGGCAGTCCTGGTTGGGGGTTGGGACATTGAGGGGAGAGGGGAGGCTCTGGCTTGGCCTGACTGTGCCCGACCCCCCATGCCAGGAAAACCTCGAAGAACCCATGGCCCTGCAGGAGCTGGACTCGAGCAACGGGGCCCTGTTGCCCTTCTATGACCCTGACACCAATGTGGTCTACGTCTGCGGCAAGGTGGGGCTGGGCCGCCCGGCGGGACGGGGAGGAGGGAGGCCAAGCACTGACGCCTGTTCCCGGCCACCCCGCAGGGCGACTCCAGCATCCGGTACTTTGAGATTACGGACGAGCCCCCCTACATCCACTTCCTGAACACGTTCACCAGCAAAGAGCCCCAGAGGGGCATGGGCAGCATGCCCAAGAGGGGCCTGGAGGTCAGCAAGTGCGAGATCGCCCGGTAAGAGGAGCCGCCAAGGAAGCTGGCTTTGGAGGAGGCAGCCTGGGGTGCAGGGCTGAGAGGTCAGGGTATAGGAGGCTGTTCAGGAGGCCCCGGGGGTGGGGGCCAGTCCGGGACGGGCTGGGGTGACGAAGCGGAGAGCAGAGGGAACCAGGAGAGCTGGTGCGGGGAGAGTCCCACCCATGGCTCCTCCTTCCCCTCCCTTTTCCAGGTTCTACAAACTGCATGAACGCAAGTGTGAGCCCATTGTCATGACCGTGCCAAGAAAGGTGAGGCCACCAGGTTCCCCCTTCCACTGATTCCCGTCCCTATCAGACCTACCACTCGGGTGACCAGGGTGAGGCCTGCGAAGGAGATGTGGTTGAGTGTGGGCGCAGTCAGTGGGCTGGACAAGTGCCAGCACATCCCCGGCTGCGCGGGGGGGCGGGGGGGGGGCAGGCCGAGATGAGGGTGGGCTGAGGCCCTGCCCTGGACGAGCCGCGGCAGCCAGAGCCTGGAGGTCTGCCCCGCGGAGGCGTGGCTGGGGCAGGGCCCTCAGTGGTGGGCAGTGGGCCAGAGAGGGGAACGGCGAGAAGAGCAGGAAGTCTGGCTGCCGTGGAGGCCCCTGTGAGCGAGGACAGGCCACATGTGGCTGGGCCTCAGATGCCCAGCCAAGAGCCTTGGAGGTGTTTCGTGCCCCTGCAGCCAGTGTTTGCTGTGTGTGCCCTTCACTGTGCCGGGCACGTCCCGGGGAGTCGAGCTATGAACACAGCTACAGGGCCGCCCCAGGCACCCACAGTCCAGGGGCACAGCTGTGGCTCCCAGCCACCAAGCCCTGCTCGGGAGGGTTGGGGGAGGCTTCAGAGGACACTGTGGGCAGTGTCCAGGCGGGAAGCGAAGGGACAGATTTGAGCTTAGAAAGGTGGTGACTTGGGGCCAGGCCACTGGGGAATATGGGTCGACAGGCTGCAGGCCTGGAGGCCAGGAGAGCGATGAGGAGGTGGCCACCGAGGGTCCTGGCAAGAGGACCCCGATGGTGGGCCCCCAGCTGACCTGGACTTCCCCCACACCCTGCCCAGTCGGACCTCTTCCAGGACGATCTGTACCCCGACACGGCAGGGCCCGAGGCGGCCCTGGAGGCGGAGGCGTGGGTGAGCGGGCAGGATGCCGAGCCCGTCCTCATCTCCCTGCGGGAGGCCTATGTGCCTAGCAAACAGCGGGACCTGAAGGTCAGCCGGCGCAACGTGTTGTCTGACAGCCGGCCTGCCGTGGCCCCTGGCTCCACTCGCGCGGGGGCCTCCACAGCTGCCGCCTCCACCAACACGACCGCCCCCAGCAGCAGCCTTGCCGGAGCTGGGGTATGTGCCCCACAGTCCAGAGTGGCGTCGGGGGGGCCCTGGGGTGCTGTGTGTACCTGAACCACTCGTCGGCCCTCTCTGAGCCTCAGACCCATGCCCGACAGTGGACTTGGGGAGGGCTGCAGCTCCTGACCCCTGTCCGCCCGCCGTGTCCCTGCAGGAGGCAAGGAAGCTGGAGGAGGTGATGCAGGAGCTGAGGGCACTAAGAGCGCTGGTCAAAGAGCAAGGGGAGCGAATCAGCCGCCTGGAGGAGCAGCTGGGCCGCATGGAGAATGGGGACGCGTAGGACCACCGGCCCAGCTGATGCCACACCCTCCGCCTCCTCCTCTAACCCCTCCTCACACCGCCTGCGGGCAGGTCACACTGCTGGCCGGCTGCCCCCGCCCCCTGCCAAGGGCCTCTGGGGCAGGTTCAGGGGCCAGTCCACTCCCTGCCCCCTCCTGTGGGCCCAGGCTGGAGCCACCGCCTGGCTTTTGTCGTCGTTACTGTGGAAGATTTTTGTACCAAGGCAAGCTTACACGCCGAGGGACCGTCACCCCTCCCCCACCCGGACCCCTGCTCCCTCCTTGGAGTGGGAGGGATGGGCTCTATATTTTCATTCCAAATAAAATTCTCTTTCTAAAATCCGGGTTCACCATTCTGCTGCAGGGGTGGGGCTGGGAAGGAAGTCTGGAAACAGGACAGGTGAGGCCCCCAGGGATTAGAAAGGCCTGGGGGCCAGGAGCACCCCCACGATCAGCTCCCCTGAATTCTGCCAGGTAGGGACACTGAGGCAGGAGACATGTGGAAAGCTCCAGAGTCATGTCCTGCTTTGAGCCGGGGACCCAATTCCTCCTGCTGGCGGCCTGGTCACAGGCTCCATAGCCCGAGTCTGGCCCAGTGACAGACCCGGGAGGATCTGGTGGGAGTCAGAGTGGGCCCAAGGGACCTGAGGCAGGGGGGGCTGGGTGGGGTGTCGTGGGCAGGAAGCGGAAGCGCCGAGCAACCCCTAGCTGCAGTCAAGCGCAGGAGCTCACTTCTCACTCCGCGCGGCCGGAGTCGGAGCCGGGCAGCCAGCGCTGAGGCCCGCGGACTGATGGTGAGCGTGGGAGCCCGTGGAGTCCTGGGGGTGGGGCCGCAGGAGGTCAGGGCTGGGCCGCCTGGCCCTGCACACTGAGGAGCAACTCCCCTCATTTGGAGCCAGTAGCGACCAGCCCAGGGACAGGCGAGAGCAGGGAGCCAGGGCAGGCGTGGGGCAGAAGAGGTTGGCCGCTTCCCATCTCACCTCAGAGCTCAGGCTGTGGCCCCAGCACCTGGCCCCAGGCCCAGACCCCCTTCAAGACCTGGGATAGACCCTCCCCTGCTCTGCTGGGGGAGCAACCCTGGGACCAGAGTCGGGCTTGTACCCCTGCACCCCTCCCCCTTCCCCTCCCCACCTGCCTTGTTCCGACCGCAGGCTTCCTCTGGCAGCTGCATAGCCTGCCCCAGCCGCTGAGGCCCCCAGGGGCGGGGGGGCGGAACTGAACGGAAACGCCGCAGTTGGGGTAGCAGTGGGGCTGTCCCAGGGGCCTGGGGGATGGAGAAAAAGAAGGCTCCGACCCCCTTCCTTGGACCTGGCCAAGTGGACAGAACACAGTTGTCTTGGGCCCAGTCCTTCCACCCCAGGCCTCAGAACAGCGACTCCAACACCGGCCTTGCAGGTCCCGCCCACCATTGCCCCTGTGGGCGGTTCTGACAGAGTCAACCAAAACCTAATTACTGAGCACCTACTGTGTGCCAGGAACTGTTTAGGTGCTTGAGCCAGAAAGGTCCCCATCTCCCTGCAGCCGATTCTGGTGGGGGGTGATAAGGCAATAAACGTAACAGACAAGCAGCTGTACCTACCTACTGGCTTAGGACAGGGGGCTGGGTGGCAGGGGGCAGGGACAAGAGCAGTGGGCCAGCGCAGGCCGGGCCTCGTTGAGGTGTCTGAGTGCAGGTGAGCCGGGGAGTCCCGTGGCCGGGAGTCCCGTGGCCGGGAGGAAGGCGGGGGGGCGGGGACCGAACATCCGGGCAGAGCTCTCCTCCGACCGCCCCCCAACAGGAGCAGGCTTGTTAGGGAGCAGCAGGAGGGAGGGAGGCGGACAGGTCTCACAAGGCCAGGACTTTGTTGCCCAAGTAAGGCTTTTTCTGCATGACTGCCCCCATTCTGCCCAAAAGGCAACGAAGGGCCGCGTCACCCAGCCTGCCTCCGGCCTGGCCCCCGCCCGGGTGGTGAGCCCCTGCCTGTCTCCCCACAGGACCCGCCCTGTGCCCTAGGGCTCTGGGCGCTGCTGGCCCTACCCGGGGCCCTGGGCAGCGGCGCCCAGGACAGCGAGGGCTCCAGCAATGTCACTGTGGTCCTGCTGCTGCTGCTCCTGCTGCTGCTGGCCACTGGTCTGGCCCTGGCCTGGCGCCGCCTCAGCCGCGACTCAGGCGGCTACTACCACCCGGCCCGCCTGGGCGCAGCGCTGTGGGGCCGCACCCGCCGCCTGCTCTGGGCCAGCCCACCAGGCCGCTGGCTGCGGGCCCGGGGTGAGGTGGAGTCCACAGAGGAGGACCCCGAGCGGCAAGAGGATGAGGACGTGGAGGATGAGAGCTTTGACGGCGGCCAGGAGGAGGCCAAACCCCGGGAAGAGGAGCGGCGTGGTGGAGAGCAGCCCGGCCCACAGCGGGGCCCAGAACCTGTGCAGGAGGCACTCAGCGGCGACGCGGAAGGGGGCCTGGGCCTCGGCCTCGGCTCCCAGGGCCCGGAGGGCTCCGCAGGCAGCGCCGAGGCCCTCCTGAGCGACCTGCACGCCTTCGCTGGCAGCGCAGCCTGGGATGACAGTGCCAGGGCCCCTGGGGGCCAGGGCCCCCATGTCACCGCCCTGTAGGGGCCAGCCCTGGGGTCAATTCCCTGTCACTGTGCTCTGCTTCGCCCGCCGCCGTGACTGGACACTGCCTGCCCTGGACCCCCATGTCACCCACGCCCCCACGTGGAGAGCCTCAGACTGTCACTCCGCCTCTTAGTTTTGTCCCCAAAGCTGTGCATCCCCGCCCCATCCAGGATGGCTGCCCACCTGAAATAAAACCTTTCCAGCCCTGCGTCCTCTGGTCCTGTGGTGACCCCTCCGTCCCTGAGCAGGGGCTCCTCGGGCACGGCCCTGCCCACGCCTGCCCCCCAGCGGCCAAAGGAAGAGCCGGTCGGTGCCATGATTGGACACTTTAATTCTGCAAGGGCACAGCTCCGCTGTGGAGGGCTCCCGGGCAGCCCGCTCGCGATTCAGGGGCGCAGCCGCTCCCAAGGCAGACACGCGCGCTCACATGCTCTCGCTCCCGCGCCCCGAGGCACCCGCACGCCCCGCAGCCCTCGCGGCCTGCAGGGAGGAGTCCCGACGGCTGTCCTTGTCTTGGCCCGTCCTCCTAGCGCCCGGGGCGCCCACGGCCCCTCTTGGACTTCTTGGTCCCTGAGGGAGGTTGGATGGGGAGGGGGACTGTGCTCGAGGGTGGCGGCGGCGGGGGCACGAGAGGAGGCAGAGGGGGCTCCATGGGCTCTGGTGGTCCGGGGCTGGGCCGGAAGCCCTCAAAGGGTGAGAACTTCAGGGGGCTGCAGGGGAAACCAAGGCAGAATCAGTGCCCCGGGGCATCAGGGCCGGCTTGCCCACCTGCCTGGGTGCACAGGCCGTGAGGCCAAGCACCCGTCCAGGCGGCCCCTGCCACAAGGGGTCCCTGTGGTAGATGGGGATCTGAGGCTAACGCCGGCTGACTCAGCCCAGGCAGCCCCGCGGCTGGCGGCCGAGCCAGTGCGGGAACTGGCCCCCTGCCCCGGCTGCAGACTCCCCACTGCCCTGAGGTACCTGACCGGCGTCCGGGGGCTGCTGTTGAGGCGCCGGGGGGAGCGCAGCTTGGGCTGGAAGGAGAAGCCCTCCTTGACGCTGTCCAGGACGGAGGGCGCCACGTATGTGAAGCCCTGGGGGTCAGAGGCAGGGCCGGGCAATGCTCAGCGCCCGCCGCTCTGCAGCCCCAGTCCCCTCCCGAGCGCCCAGAGCCCGCAGGCACCCAGACCGCACCAGGAAGGCCTGGCTGGCGCTCTCACTGAGGGCCGTGTCGTCCGGGCTGTCCACTGGCGTCTGCCGCGTGAAGCGGGCATCAAACTGGCTCACGTCCTCCTCTGACTGCTGTGGGCCAACCCAGGTGGGGAGGGGTCAAGGGGTGTCCGAGGCAGGGGCCTCCACCCACCCCTGGGCCAGTGGGGCGTCCACTCACCAAGCAGGGCCTGAAAGGGGGGTCCACGCGGCGGGCCAGGAGATCGTCCCAATTAATGTGCCGGAAGAAGGGGTGCCTCTGTGGACAGAGCCCCCAAACATGCCAACCGTCACCCGCCTTGGCTTCCTCAGTAACTCTCTGCCCTGGGGCTCCGCCCCTCGTGGTGGTCCGAGACCCACCTGCACATCGGCAGCGTCCCCTGGGCCACCCCCAATCCGCTGGCTGGGATTCCGCTTCAGAAACTGCAGGGCAAGGGCAGGGGGTGAGGGTCTGGGACAGAGGTTCTGCTCACGTGCCCCCGTGTTCCCAGGGGCGGGCTGGGGTTGGGGGGAGAAGGGCGGGGAGGAGGCCTCTGGGTGTGGTCTCCACCGACTGACACCCCCGGAACCCCGAGGTTTGGTCGGATGACCCCTTCTCCGTGAAGCCTTCGCGAAGGCATACGGTTGCCAGCATCTCCCCAGGGTGCTTTAGGGGGGATCCAACCGTGCGTGAGGGCCCACCCCCGCCCCACGCCCTGATCCCGGGCTTAAAGGAGGAGCGGCGAGCTCATCACAAATAGTTTGCAGATCAGCATTTAGACGAAGGACGGGCTGGGGGGTCAGCAGCTGCTCTGTGTCCGAGCTAAGCCCCAGCTCAGCATCTGGGACCCCAAAGGCAGCGTTCCTCCAGCCCAAAGGCATGCTGCACAGGCCGGGTGGCTCGGGCTCCCCGTGACCCAGAGGTACACCGGGAACCCGTGCAGGGCCTGGGAGGAGGGCAGGGGCTGGCCCAAGGGCAGGAGGGAGCCCACCTTTTTGACGAGGTCCCGGGCGTCCGGGGTGAGGTAGGGGGGCAGTGCCAGCTTCCCTTTGATGATCTTGTCCATGGTTTTCTTCCGGTTCTCTGCGGTGAAGGGTGGCTGGAGGAGGCAGAGGGTGAGAGGAGCCTTGTGGGCCTCCTGCTGGGCCCCGCCCCTGCCTGGGAGAGGGACCCCCCACCCTCCACCCGTCCCCGCCATCCCAGGAGGCCGGACTTGCCGATCCAGTGAGCATGTCGTACATCAGGGCCCCCAGGCTCCACCAGTCCACCGCCCGGTTGTGGCCGCTGCGCACCAGAATCTCAGGGGCCCTGAGAGCCGGGTGGGACCGTCAGTTGGGCAAGGCCCTTCCTGGCCATCCCCTGGCCCCTATGCCCAGCCCGCTGCCCCTTACATGTACTCGATGGTGCCACAGAAGGTGTGGGTGACGGCGCCCTCATGAATTGATTCCTTGCAGAGTCCAAAGTCTGTCAGTTTGATGTGGCCTGAGGGAGAATGTGGAGGGGGTGGTGGTCAGGGACCCCGGGCCACCCCAGCAGGCTCTTCAGCCCTCCCCCCAGGTTCTGACCCGCTGAATTCAGCCGCACATGCGCACCCTGGCTGTTGAGCATGATGTTCTCGGGTTTGAGGTCCCGGTAGATGATGCCTTGGGAGTGGAGGTGGCCCAGGGCCAGCGTGATCTCTCCCAGGTAGAAGCTGCAGAGACAGGACAGGGTGAAGGCAACGGCGGATCCCCCGAGCGCCTCGGGAGAGGCAGGAAGCAATACCCACCAGGCTGTGTCTTCCAGGAAGATGCCCTCTCGCTCCAAGTGCGTGAAGAGCTCCCCGCCTGTGACACAAGCATGTCAGCCGCTGTGGGCTGGGACTAAGCTCCTCCGCTCTCCGAGTCCCGGTGTCTTCTTGGGGAGAGTGGGGCTCGCGATTCCCGCCCTACCTGCCTCACAGAGCTGCCGTGGGGGTTCAACTCAATTCAGCAAACATCTACCGACGCCTACTCGGTGCCTGGCCCTGTGCTGGGTGAAGCTGGGGACACAGAGACGGAGGGACCCAGCCATGGCCCTCAGGATGCTCAGTCTGAGAGGAGACAGACATGCCAGACTGAGCTCGCAGCTCCGAGGGCCGCTTACCCCAAAAATACCTCCCAGAGGAGACAAAGGAGGGCAAAATTAATCCCAAAGTGAGGGGACAAGAAGTCCGCGGTAGCGGCGGGACTTAAAGGCGATGTCGAGACGGAGCCCAGGGAATGGAGCTCACAGGGCTCCGCTGGGACAGGCGGGCTAGGTGGGCCCAGCAAGCCTGGACCGCTCCATGGCGAGCAGGAGCCCAAGGAGGGGCCCAGCCCAGGCGGCCAGGCTTCACCCGTGCAGTGACGGGGAGCCATGGACTCTGGGGGGTGCTGGGAACAATGCCGGGCTCTGAGACGAGGACCCGGGGACTCGTGGAGGACACACTAGGAGAGGGCGAGCTGGGGTTAAGGCACAACTGTGCCTCCCCTCCCCCTGAGAGAGTGGAGAAGATGGAGGACATGGCAGAGAGGGACCCAGCTGGCTTTGGGACCTGACTGGATGCAGGACACACAGGAGAGGAACAGGACATGCGGGGATGGTGGAAATGGACCAAACAAGCCTCAGACTTCGAAACAAACTCCCGCCATTCCTGTCCGCCCCAACAGAGGTGAGGGACACCCTAGGCGCTGGACAGATGTTTGCTGACTGACTGAATGAATGAATGAAAGGATGGACAGACAGATGGGTGGCTGTGGGGCCCCTAGCTGCTCCACCCACCACACCGCTCCAGGCTCCCTCAGAGCCCCCAGGGCGTCGGATGCTGGTTCCCTGGCCCCGCCCTCACCCCCGGCTGGGCGCCCCTCATACCACTGAGGCACTCAAGGATGAGGTAGAGTTTGCCGCCGGTCTGGAAGGCATAGGCCAGTTCCACAATGAAGGGGTGCTTCACTGACTCCAGAATGTTTCTCTCAGCCCGAGTGTGTGCCGTGTCCTTGGCATTGCGCACAATTTTGGCCTGGGAGGCAGGGACTGGTTAGAAGGCAGGCGCCTGGGGCTCCTCAGTCCCTCCCGCCATTCTCTTCCGGCCACCTGCTATCACGCCGTGGTATTTCTCCACGACGCTGCTGCCGTCAGCAACCCTTCTCAGGGGCTGCTTTATCCCGTGGCACCGTGTTTCCCAACCTCGGCACCACTGACATTGTGGGCACATAATTCTTTGGTGTGGGAGGCTGCCTTGTGCACTGCAGGATATTCAGCAGCATCCCTGGCCTCCACCCACTGGGTGCCATGAGCACCCCTCTCGGGCCATAACTCCAAAATGCACACAGGCATTGGCAAATGTCCCCTGGGAGGCAAAACTGCCCACAATTGATAATTACTGCAAAAACAATATACAGTCACGTGCCGCACAATGATGTTTTGGTCAAGAATGGGACACACGTATAACAGTGGTCCCATAGATCATAACGGAGCTAAAAATTCCTGTCTCCTAGAGATGAGGCGAAGTCCTAGCACAACGCCTTCCTCGCCTGTTGGTGGCGACGCGGGTGTGAACAATCCTGCTGCGCTGCCAGCTGTTTAAAAGTAAAGCGCCTACAATCATGCAAGGTAGAGGAAATTGTTCGTGATAGTAAATGACTACGCTCCTGACTCTTGTATGTACTATACTACACTTTTTCTCTACTTTAGAGTATACGCTTTCTACTTATAAAAATAGTTTGCTGTAACCCAGTGAGACTTCCAGTCAAGATGGAGGCGTAGGTAAATACGCCTTGCCTCCTTGCACAACTACAGAAAAAATTACAAGTAGACTGCAAAACAAGTATCACCCAGAACCATCAGAAAACAGAACTGCATGGAAGTCGGACGACCAAGGATTTAAGAAAGCTACACTCATCCAGATGGGTAGGAAGGGTGGAGACACGGCGACACACAAAGCGGCGCGGAGAGGTGGAGAGGTGTGGAGGTGCAGAGTGGCACGGAGACACGGAATGGGTGTCCCGCAACCACGGGTGGCAGATAAAAAGCAGGAAGGAAACCTTAGGAGCAGGGATCCCAGCCCCACACCAGACCACCCAGCCAGGGTTCTAACACCAGGAAGTTAAGTTCCCATAACTTCTGCCTTTAAAAACCACTGGGGGTTAGGGCGGCGGAATAAACTGCGGGACTCACAGGAAACTCCTCTTAAAGGGCCCGCAACGGACTTAAGACTTACACAGACCCACTGCGTCTGGGGTTCAGCACCAGGGCAACAGCTGGAAGGGCACCAGCGGCACACGGGGAGAAAGTGAAGCGGCTGGCATCAGGTGAGGGCCAGCAGACAGCTTCCTCCTGGTCAAAGCTCCAGAAGCCAGGCGGTGCCACTGTCCCCTCTCTGAGCCCTTCCCCACACAGAACCACAGAGTGGTAACATGTGCTACCTTGCTCTGCAGATTACCTAAGGCTCTGCCCTACACAACTTATTGATGCACTTTTCTACAATAGGTCATGCTAAGACAGGGAGTCAAAGCAGCTGTACCTAAAACACAGAAACAAACAGAGGGAGAATGCCAAAATGGGAGACAAAGAAATACGGCCCAGCCCTGGCTGATGGGGCCCAGTGGTTTGAGCACCGGCCTGCACACCAAAGGGTCGCCAGTTCAATTCCCCGTCAGGGCGCATGCCTGGGTTGCAGGTCAGATCCCCAGTAGGGGGCACAAGGAGAGGCAACCACACATTGATGTTTCTCTCCCTCTCCTTCTCCCTCCCTTCCCCTCTCTAAAAATAAATAAATAAAATCTTTTTTTTTTTTAAGAAATATGGCCCAAATCAAAGAACAGAATAAAACTCCTAAAAAAGAACTAAATGAAATAGAGATAAGCAGCCTATCAGATGCACAATTCAAAACACTTTGCTCCAGGAACTCACTGGGTACTTCAATAGCATGAAAAGACCCAGGCAGAAAGGAAGTTTAAATTAAATGAAATAAAGAAAAATCTACAGGGAACCAACAGCGGAGGGGATGAAGCTCAGAATCAATGATTTGGAATATAAGGAAGAAAAAAGCATTCAACCATAGAGCAAGAAGAAAAAAAGAATTTAAAAAAGACGAGGATAGGCTAAGGAGCCCCTGGGACATCTTCAAATATGCCAACATCTGAATCCTAGGGGCGCCAGAAGAAGAGGAAGAGCAAGAAATTGAAAATTTGTTTGCAAATATAATGAAAGAAAACTTCCCTAATTTGGTGAAGGAAGTAGACATTCAAGTCCAGGAAGTACAGAAAGTCTAAAACAAGAGGGTCAACACCAAGACACGCAATAATTAAAATGCCAAAGTTTAAAGATAAAGAAAGAAGCTTAAAAGCAGTGAAAGAAAAGCAGGTAGTTACTTACAAAGGAGTTCCCATAAGACTGTTAGCTGATTTCTCAAAAGAAACTTTTCAGGCTAAAGGGACTGGCAAGAAGTATTCAAAGTTATGAAAACCAAGGACCTACTGCATAGATTATTCTATCCAGCAAAGCTCTCGTTTAGAATGGAAGGGCAGCCCTGGCAGGCGTGGCTCAGGGGATCTCATGCCGGCCTGTGAACCAAAAGGTCACCGGTTGGATTCCCAGTCGGGCACATGCCTGGGTTGCAGTCAGCTCTTCAGCTGGGGGCATGTGAGAGGCAACCAATTACCGTATCTCTCACACATCAGTGTTTCTCTCCTTCTCTTTCTCCCTCCCTTTCCCTCTTTCTAAAAGTAAATAAATAAAACCTTTGAAAAAAATAGAATGGGAGGGCAGATAAAGTGCGTCCCAGACAAGATAAAACTAAAGGAGTTCATCATCACCAAGCTATTATGTGAAACGTTAAAGGGAATCATATAAGAAAAAGATGAAAACTATGAACATAAAAATGGCAACAAATTCACAACTATCAACAATTGAATCTAAAAAACAAACTAAGCAGAACAGAAACAAAATCACAGATATGGAGATCATTTGGGGGGTTGCCAGTTGGGAGAGGGGAGGGGGAGAATGGGGGAAAAGGCACAGGGATCAAGAAGTACAAATTGGGTGAACATGGCGCTCCCAGCGGCGTCCTGTGCGCCAGCCCCCGGGCTTCAGGGCAGGCGCCCTCCAAACACTGGCACACCCGCCCCAATCTGCTCTCAGTGCGTAAATTCACAGAGAAACATGAATGGGTAAAAGCAGAAAACGGTAGTGGAACAGTGGGAATCAGCAATTTTGTGCAGGAAGCTTTGGGAGATGTTTACTGTAGTCTGCCTGAAGCTGGGACAAAACTGAAGAAACAAGATGAGTTTGGTGCTTTGGAAAGTGGGAAAGCTGCTAGTGAACTCTGTTCCCCTCAAACAGGAGAAGTAACTGAAATTAATGAAGCTCTTGCAGAAAATCCAGGATCTGTCAACAAATCTTGTTATGAAGATGGTTGGCTGATCTAGATGACAGTGCGTAACCCTTCAGAAGCAGATGAACTAATGAGAGAAGCATGAGAAATACATACAATCTATTGAGGAGTGAAAATGGAACTCCCTCCTAATTAAACTAGTATGAAACAACCTAATCTAGCATGGTTTTCTTAAATTAGTGATGAACGGAATTTTTAAAGTAACAACTTTTAGCCATACCCATGGAAAAACAAACTGCAGCAACGCTATTGAAAGAAAATGCCCCTTAACTTTCTAATAAACAGGTAAACAGCTTGAATCTTTCTTACAACACCCTACGATTTTTAAGCTAGGCTACAGTTAATAATGTTCAGAATTCCTGAGATCTGTGGTGAAATCTAGTTATCCAAATCATGTATTTCAAGAACGTTGTCATCTTAAGCCTTATACAATATTGCAACTTTTTTACATCAGTCTCTGGTTTGGGATCAAAATACTTAACGAGCTTCCCATTGGAAATAATTGACAGTGGAAAAAAGTTTTTGTTAGTTACAGAGTCAGATGACGAACAAAACCATCTTAATTTACCAATATACTAAGTTTGCTGGTGCTATTTTTATACAGTGAAGTGGCAGCCTTGCAGGAAAAGAATAAAGTTTAATAATAAAACATTCAATTTCTTCATTAATCATGTTTTTTTGTCCCTTTTGCTGTTAATATTTAGTCAATCTGCTAGTATTTGTGAAAATGCTAATTTTAATTTACGGAAAGTTTTTTTTTTAAGGAAATTAAAGCCATAACTTTAGTCCAAGAAAATGTTTCCTTTTAGTCATAAATGTGGTGTTTCTTAAGCAAAAATACAATTGGCTGATAATATGTTAAAAAAAAAAAAAGCAGCACTAATTGGTAGGTAGGTAGTTGGCATTAAGAAATACATAGGAGGATGTTAAGAACAGCGTAGGAAATGGAGTAGCCAAAGAACGTATATGCACGACCCATGGACATGAACTAAGGGGGGCACCGTTGCAGGACATGAGGGGACCAGGTGGAGGGGTTAACTTCGCTGAGAAACAGTGCACCGGCGGCGGCAGCCTTGTGCATCTCGTGTTTACAGCGTCTCTGGATCGCATCACTTTCTCTTGTGCTTGATTTAATCTCGTGCTGTTTTGTATGGAAACGTGCTGCAGAGGCTTATAGCCCAGGAGCCGTGGGCTCTGCCACACAGCCTGGGTGTGCAGTAGGCTAGACCTCCTAGGTTTGTGTAGGTGCCTCTTGATCACACACACGCCAAAACTGCCTAACGACACATTGCTCAGAACGTATGCCCTCTTTAAGCGGTGCGTGACTATAATCACAACACACAGCAAACCAGTAAATGCCCAAGACAGGGACTGTCTCCATCCTGTTCACTGCTGTCTTCCTAAAACCCAGTGCAGTGCATTGGGATTGGCAGTCACTCAGTGACGGGTCACTAGCATAACAAATGACTCACCTTCCTCAGGACTTTCATGGCGTATATTTTGCCCAAGTTGGAGCCTTGCACCTTTCGCACCTGGAACACCTGTAGGGCAGGGGAGACAGGATCAACTTCCCTCTCCACACCCTACCTTTGACAGGCCTCCGCCCTGACACTTGGGACCGAGAGGCAGATCTCCACCCACGGGTGGAGCAGTAATGCAGTAATGATGGCAAGACTCTTGGAGCATCTGCCCTTCCCTCCTTAATGCGGCCGCCTCTGACTTCTCTCGGAGGCTCTCCTGATTTACAAGCCAGTTTGTTCTGAGAATCCTTTGTTGGGAGGCCAGTACCTTGCCATAGCCCCCCTTGCCCAGCACTCGCAGCAGCTCAAAGCAGTGGGGCCCGATGTGCTCCGGGCCAGGGTTCACACTGGTCTCAGTCAGCTCCACCTCCTCATAGTGTCCCACAGGCCTGCGGACACAGGAAGTCAACGGGGGCGAGGCTCCATACTCCCCAGGGTCCCTTCCCCAGCCCATTGCTCCTCCCCCTTCACGACCCTCACTCACTCCAGGCCAGCCGCCCTCAACTCAGCAAGGGGACGCACGTCCTGTGAGAAACCGAGGGGTAAGAGGCAAGGGAGGTACCAGGATCCCTCCCCCCCAAGCTGGGCTGCTTGGCTCAGGAGAAGGGGCCAGGAATGCGGGCTGGCAGGTGATGGACCAGGCCTGGGGAGGAGTGCACGAGGGCAGAAAGGGAGAATCAGGGGAAGGGATAGGGTCCTGGAAGGCAGGCTGGGGTGAGGGCGGGGTAGGAGCTTAACAGCGGCCGGGTTTGAGAAAGACGGGGTTCTGCAGCAGAAGGCCTATTCTGGGTGGGGAGAGCCGAGGCGATCCCATCGCCAGCGTGATGATATCGGCTCCAGGACCGAGCCGTGCCTGGGCGGACCACTCACCGCAGGGAGCTCTGGCTCGCCCTCGCCCTCGCTGTCTTCCTCCGTCTCCAGATCCAGGTCAAACACGGCCGCCATGGCGGCGCCAGCCCCGCGGGCCCCTCGGCCCCTGCCTGGCCGCGCAGTGACTGACAGCCGGGACCCCGGGCTCAACGTTATCACTCTGCGACGGTGGCCGCGCTCGCCGATTACGCAAGAGGCATCGCCCTCCCTGGAGCCGGCTGCTTAGCCTTGCGAGGAGAAAATATGGCGTCCGTCGCAAGGCCTCTCGGGAACTGTAGTTTCAGAGTGTCCCAGTGCCAAAACCTACGGGACAGTCTTTGAAACCCTGTCTTCGGAGTACAGCTGCCGGAGAGCGTCACTGGACAGCGGCAGCCTGGGAGGCTCCCATCTTGGTTCTTGGAGAGAGTTAGAGTTTGAATGGGAAGCTCATATGGGTATATGTGTAAACGCAATTCCCAGCCCTTCTGAACCTTTCGCTGCCAGGCTGGCTGAACAGCGAGAGCCCATTCCGTCTCCTCTGTTCGCCCCTGAAAGGGAGGCGGCTGCATCAGCCTTCTCACTACCGTGCCTCCGAGGCACCTGCAGGTCAGAGCATTTACTGGGTGACTGTTCCGTGCCCAGCTTACCACGAGGCTTTGTTGTCAGGTTCCTGCCAGAAAGGATTTGTGCCTTATTTATCTACCTGCAAATATGGCTCATGCTGGAATTTGCTCCGTGGCCAATTTAAGCACATTTAGTAATCTGGCTACCTGGTACAGAACAGGTGCTCCATAAAACTTTGTTAAAAGAAGCATGGTTGGTGTGGATCAGTGGGTTGAGTGCCAGCCTGTAAACCAAAGTGTTGCCAGTTCAATTCCCCGTCAGGGCACATGCCTGGGTGGCAAGCCATATCCCCAGTTGGGGGCGCACAAGACACAACCACACAGTGATGTTTCTCTCTCTTTCTTTCTCCCTCCCTTCCCTCTCTCTAAAACTTTGTTAAAGGAATTAATGAACACACCAAACTTGGTTTGTGACTTCTTGTTGGCTGAGGCTCTGTGGGGGTGAATTTGGGCCAGAGGAGGCCTTGGATGAGTAGCTATAAACTCAGATGGACAGATCTTAGGGGTCTCCAGGCTGGAGGAGGTTGTATGTGGCCCTCTGGTTGTAATCCCACCCTCAGGAGGCCCTCAGCTTTGGGTCCTGGTGGGGGTGCCCCCGGCAGGCTCCCACAGAAGGTCAACCCAAAGGCCTGGCCAGCGGCTAGTGTGGCAGTTATTCCAAGCTCCAGATGCTATGGGTATCCCCTAGCCACCTCTCCCTCCTCCCTTCCCCACCCCCACCCAGCTGAGCCTGAGAGATGTTGTCCAAGTCGCAAGAGTCTGTCCCAGATTCTGGACATTTCGGTAGTCCTTAAGCCTTTATTCGGAGAGGGATGTTTATGGAGCAGGAGTTCTTAAAGCAGCCTCCCCTGAATTAGGAAGGGAGTGTAGACTCTCCTCTGCCAGTGCTAGTTAGGTGTATGCCAGAGGCCGAGGCATCTAGGCTCGGTGGAGAAGCTGCCTGGTGCATGAGAGGGGGCTGTTCACGTGCGTCAGGGCCACATGTGAATGAGGGCAGGGAGGTGAGCAAGGCCGAGAAGCCAAGGGCACATGTAAGACTTAGTTGAAGCAGGAGCCTGGGCCCTACATCTTTCCCCTCAGCACTCTATCCACTGCGATACGACCTCGAGGCCATGGCTTTTCCTCTTTGAGCCTGTTTCCTCATCTGCAGGAGGAGACAATCATGTCTACCTGGAGAGGAGATGGTGACTGCTGACCCCAGGTCAGCAGCCTCTACTGCTCAAGTCAAATGAGGTCGGTGGGGCACTGCCAGAAGCTGTCAGAGCTGTCAGCAGACTCTAGAACTGGCCTGGAGTTTGTTAAATGAGGCAGTGGGAGTAAGAGGATGGGGGTTTAGTCTCCAGTTTCCTTGGGATTTGTCCAAGGCCGGGCCCTGCCAGGCTCTCCCCTGGGGATGGCAGGAAGTGGGAGAGGCTTGCAGGGGTGGGGAGGACGGGCTAGGTCTGGGCCCACGGCCACCTCCCTCTGTCGGGGGGAGGGGGCGGTGCGTGCACGCGCACGCGCGCACAGGTATTGTCACTTCTCCTTGGCCAGAGTACTGGGGCAGCTGAGGGCTGAACTGGAACTTTTGGGAGGGCTAGAGGGCCCAGTGGCCCCCCAGGTACTTTTTTTGTGGCCCTTAAGCCCAGGAGGCCTGGTGTCAAAATGGCCCTGCCACTCTGAAGGGACCCAAGGCCTGAGGCCCGCGATGGGAAAGGACTATGGGGAAGAGAGGCAGGGAGAGGATCAGGAGGCAGAAGGCACCACGGCACCCCTTCCAGCACCTTGCCCCTGCCCCCGACCCCAGTGCTATTTGAAGTGGGACAGGAAATGGGCGATGGGGTAGTGGGGCCCATCGATGCCCAGGCCCTGGCAGAGGCCCAGCAGACGGAGGCGGGCCTCGGCCAGGCTGGGCCCAGCACAGGCCACACTGCAGTAGGGCTCCTCGTACTCGCCGGGCACCCGGACCTCCTCTAAAGATGCAAACTGATTGAAACGCACCAGGCCCCGGTCATGAAGAGCCTGCAGAACCTCTGGGCTGGCAGTGGAACTCAGCACCTGCAGGTGCTGGGATACCAGGCCAGTGACGCCCACCAGGTGGCCACTGGCCCGTGGGTGGGTGGGCAAGGCAGGCCGCAGGCCGCAGGCCACCATAGCAGCAGCGAGCAACAGGTCCACACCGTAGAGCTCCAGGATCCAGTCTCGCAGGTAGAAGCCACCCATGCGGGGGTTGATCTCGATGAGCCGAGGCCCAGTCCTGGTCAGCTTGAGCTCCACGTTGAAGACCCCATCCAGCAGCCCGCAGCCCAGGCAACAGCGGAAGGCCGCCTGCACCAGCTGCGCCTCCTGCTCCGGAGCCAGTCCAGTGGGCATGCAGGCTGCCGTCTCAGTAAAGCCAGGTAGCCGCGTGGGGCCATTGTCAGAGACAAAGGCAGCCAGCAATCTCCCGCCAAACACCACCAGGTCCACATCGTGCTCCGTGCCCTCGATGAACTCCATCAGCAGCATGGAGTTGCCCCAGCCCAGCCCAATGCCAGGGTGGTCTGCCTCACCCTGCAGGTCGTGGGTGATCCTGGATAAGTGCTGGTGACACTGTGGTGCATCCTCCACCAGCCGCACGCCCACTGCACCTGCGCCAAACTCCAGCTTCATGACGCCTGGCAAGGGCACCTGGCGGACAGCCCTCTCCACATCGGCCTCACTCTCCAGCGGGCAGCAAGGCACAGCGTGGAGGGAGGGTGCAGGCCAGGGCGGGCCTTGGCAGTGCAGCAGATGCAGCTGGGTGCAGCTCTTCTGCTTCGCCAGGCGCATGGCGGCTGGGGGGCTGCAGGGCAGACCCAGCTCCTGGCAGAGCAAGGCTGTGAGCACCAGGCAGTCGTCCCAGTAGGAGAAGCAGCCATCCAGCTGCAGGCCGCGCGCCCGCACCATCTCCGCCAGCAGCCGTGCGTTCTCCTCATCCTTCTGGTGCTCTGTCACGTCAAAGTGGATGAAGGTCTGCACCAGCTGGGATGCAAAGTGGCTGGGGTCTGACTCCACCAGGTGCAGCTGCAGAAACCACAGGAAGGCAACACACTCACGTTAGCCTGTGCTGGGCGCTGGGGAGACAGAACGGAGCCTAAAAGGTGGTCTTGGCCCTCAGAGGAGACGGGTTCACCAACATTAAGTGCTCAAAAAGTTTCTGTCAATGATTGAATAAATGGAAGGTGCAGAGGCGGGCAGCGTAGCCCCTCCTGGAGGGGAGAGACGGCACTGGAGGAGGCAGTGCTCTAGCTGGGAACTGAACAAGAGGCAGCCAAGGAAAGCTGTCTGCAGGAGGGAGGAGGCAGCGGGATGAGGGAGGGATGAGGAGAGCAAGTGGGCCCATTCCCACAGGCAGCCTCAGTCCTGGCCAGGGCTTGTAGGGAAACCACCAGTTTGGGGGCTCGGGACATGTGGTCTCGTGTCTTAGGGCATTATGCTCTTGGTCATCATTTATCCAGTGTGTTCTGACAGTGGGGGGTGCCCACAGGAGAATCCAGGGGGGCCCCACACCTCCAAAGTTCACTGCCTGCGGGGGGGAACCGACACAAAGCAGCTGGTACCCAGGGCAGAGGTGACCCCTGAAGAGAGCGGGGAGGGTGGCTGTCTGCACTGTAACACTTGGCAGTGTGAGGAGACAGTCCAGATGCACGCGGTGTAAAGGCAGGAAATGAAGAAGCATAGGAATGGAGGAAGGGGAGGGTTGCCGAGGGGGTGTTGTACTGTGGGGGAGGGGAGAGGAGGCCCCTGTAGTAGGTTGGGCCCAGAAAAAGCCTAGACATTTGGCCTCCGTTTTCTTATCTGTTTAATGGGGTTAAGAATGTCTGCTGGGCCTGCATGGCTCCAGATTCTGTAACAAGACTACTGCCGTCAACGTGATTCTGGATCTGTAAGCTGTTCCCCAGCACACTCCTCGCGCCCTCAGAAATTCAACCTTAAAGGAAGCGTCCGACATTTCTGCAGGATAGTGCCAGGCTGCTTAGCGTGGCATTCAAAGCCCAGGTTCTGGCACTGACCCTGAACGCCTTCCCCACCTCCCCGCTCCAGCCTGTCTACCCTAGGCTCCTTTTAAAACTGGCAGACAAAATTGGGCTAGCGGTCCAAGTTCAGACTTCCAACCTGGGCCAGGTGGCTGGTCCCAGCGAGACCGCCCCGCGCAGACCCCGCCTCTAGTGGCGCTGGCCCCGCCCCCAAGCCCCGCCCACCCCCTGCCCCGGTCCCCGCCTCCACCCGCTCCAGGGCCTGGCCCCGCCCCGCGCCCCGCCCACCTTAAGCCCGTAGTCGCGCGCCGCCTCCCACACGAACTTCTTGCTGACCCCGCCCGCGCCGACCACCAGCAGATGCTTTCCCTCCATGAGACAGCGGGCCGAACGCCGCAGCATGGTCTCCACGAGTGGCGCGGCGGCCGCCGCCTCCTCGGTCGCCGGCCTCGAGCGCGGGGCTGCCCAGAGCCCCTCGAGAGTGCCGCACGCTTCCAGGCACAGGCCGCTGTTCAGCTCCAGGGCCACCGGAGTCAGCGTGCCACCCACCACCGTCAGCGCGAAGTCTACGCCTAGGCCAGGCGGGGGCGTGGGTTCAGCGCGGACTATCCCCGGGCCTTGCCATACCCACCCTTGCACCCCTCCCGCCCCACCCCAGCCTCCGCCCCGGGCCGCCCGCACTCACCGAGGAAGTCCGTGCCAGCCAGACGCCCGCCGCGCTGCGGGGCGCTCAGGCCAGCCTCCAGGGCCAGCACGGCGGCCAGAGCGGCCTCAGCCGCCGCCTTGACGCGCTGCCGCACAACCGCCACCTGGGCCGCGTCGCCCAGGCCACACTGGGCCAGCACCACCTCCAGCGTCCGCGGCAAAGAGTTCTGGTGCCGCAGAGGCCGGTCCCCACGGCCCGCGGCGCACACCACCTGGGCAGGGTGAGGCTCAGGGGACGGGCGGCCCAGGAGGAGTCCTCCCAGGACTACCCCCGACCCGTGCACGCACACCTTCCCCTGTGTCAAGATCCAGGCCAGGCCTCTCTGGACACTCAGGAAGCCCTGTTCTGCAACGTGACTCACACCACACACCACCTCCGCTGCCACTTGCCCATCTGGTCCCTAGAGCCCTGGGGGATTCCACCCAGGTTTGCAGGCCCAGCTGGGGTCTCTGCTCCCTGAGGGCTCTGAGCACCTGGCTTCTGGCTCCTGGCTCCTGCAGCCCTGGGGACTGGGCCGACCCAGTGTGCCCCAGCTCAGGAACACCCTGAAGACCGGACTGAGTCTCTCCCTCTCAGCCTGGCACCAAGCTGTACACCCAGGAGGGTCCCCAAGCCTCCCTGAGCTCCCCAGCTTGCAAGCCCTCCTAAAGGGCTCCAGGCACTGGAGGTTTATCAGGGACCCTGGGTCAGCCTCTTGCGCGGGCAAGAGCTCCCTGGGAAGAGCATTCAGCCCTGAGGGGTGGGCCCCAACGTGGGATATCAGTCAAGGCAGGGAGCGGTGCAGGACGGGGTGGAGGGAGGGAGAAAGTGTCAGACCCAGGAGTCCCCCAGAGGCAACCAAGATTCCCCTTCAAAGATTTCGTCCTCGCTCACCTTGCTCAGCAGAGGCCTGTCACCCTGTGTCCGACACACCACAGCACAGATCCGCACAGCCAGCTCGGGGCCAGCTGGGGGGCTGCCTGGAGAGAGAGAGCAGTGAGGCCTGAGCCCAGCACAGAGCAGCCAGGAGGCCAAGCCAAGCTCTCACCCCTGGCTGGCTCGGGGCCTCTCACCTGGGAAGGGCAGCCGGGCGGGTGGGCACACAGCCTCCACTAAGACACTCTCCTCCTCCTCCAGTTTCTCCAGCAACGCCAGCACTGTGCCCACCACTGTGCCCATCTCTGCGCGTGGGTGCAGACGCAACGCCTGCCGCCCCCGCCAGCGCCAGCTGCTGAGCTTGATGGCAACCTGCAACAACAGGAAGGGGAAGGGGCTTCCTCCCCACCCCATGTAACTGCAGGATGAGATGTCATACCACAGAAGCCAATGAGTAAACTGGGTAAGAAGGCAAGGGGACTGCCACAGAGAGATGGGCACAAAGTTGGGGATAACTTCCCAGCAGGACTTGGTAACCGTGTGCGGTCCCACCCCGCGGGCACGTGCGCAGACCTCGGGGGCAGGAGCCTGTTACCTGCAGGGCGTCGCCCAGGACCGCAGAGTGCAGAAAGGCCCCGACCTCCTCCTTCACGAGTGCCTCCTGGCCCTCTTTGCTGCTCAGCTCCACCAGCCGCAGTCCCGGGCTGGCACCCCCTCCCCGAAGCAGTGCGGGCGGCTTGTAGGTGAAAGCCAGGGTAGCTGGCACAGCCACGCCGCCCTGCTGGGCCAGTAATTGTCTTGTCAGCAGTCGGTCCTCCAGCAGCCTGGCCAGCTCTGCTGACGCTCCTGTAGGGCAGGTGAGGTCGCGGGCGAGCTCGGCTGCTTCCTGGCCCAGGCCAGGCCTGGGGCCCAGGCCTGCCAGGAAGTAGGTGGCTTGGCGCTGGGGTACAAAGTCGTCCAGGAATGTCAGGCCCCCCGGGTGGAAGCTCACTGCCTTGGAGACCAGCAGGGCCGCCTCTCCTGGCCGCCCCGGTGCTGGCACCTTCGTCAGCCAAGCAGGGGACAGGCAAAGAAGCATGTTTCCTGGGGGCAGAGGGGGAGGGTTGCTGGCCAAGAAAAGCTTCATGCCCCCATCACTTCCACCTCCAGCCCGGGCCCCCGGCTAGTGGGGGCAGCTGCTCCCAGAACCCACCCTCCCTAAAAGCATGGCAGCTGGTCCCCTGGAATGCAGGCAGTTGCCAGGGTCGGTGGGTATTTTGGGATGCGGCTGCGCCAGGACAGGGCTGTCCTTTCTGAAGGAGGGGGTGGGGAACTTGGGCATACACTCACCCGGACTCTGGACACCGCCCTCCAGCAGCACGGACAGGAAGGTGCTGGGGCATCCCAGAACGCACAAGGTCACCTCTGCCCCAGGGCAGCCTCGGGGAAGAGGACACAGCCAAGCTCACCAGGGGCGCCCCTTGTTGTCTTTCTGCACGCCTCCCCCCGACCCCCATGGCCCTTCTGGGTAGGGATGGGAGGAGTGAAGAGAACAGAGGGGAAGCTGGGGAGGGAAGCGGAGGGCGCTGCCCGCCCGGCCCGTCAGACCCGCTGCCTTCTCTCCGCAGCTGGTCTCGGAGGCACTGGAGGCCGGGTAGTCGGAGGCCGGGGCTCCATCCTGACTCTCACTGACTTTCTGTGGGACCCAGGGACCCCGTGCAGTGGGAGGAGGGGTCCGTGCCCCTCAGTGTCCCAGTCTGCGTAATGCAGCTGAGGCTGTGATTCCTCGTGTGTTCTAGTTCTTTGGTGGCCGCCTGGTATGTAAACTAGGTAAAGCAGCGGAGAAATCTTGGGTCCCCACTGCTGGCCACCTCTACAGCAGCTCCAAGACACTTCTCCAGAAGCTTTGGCTCCACAGAACAAGGGTTGCCAGTTCCAGGGCTGGATCTCCTGGGTGTGGAGGGGAGCCTTGATCTCTGAGTTGGCTGGTGCCAGAAGCCCTCGCAAACAGTGCCTGCCTGCCTGCCCACAGGTGACCGGCTCCCCTGGCTTCAAACTAGCCAGACTTGGGGGGAAGGGCTGTGGGCGCCTCCCTCAGCCCAGAGGTCCCCCCTCCGTGGAGCCCTCGGGCACCTGTTTGGGGCACCTGGCTGCGGTCCTGGGTCTCTGGAAGGCCAGCGTGCTGCAGGCAGCGCTGCAGGAGGCTATAGTAGTAGGTTGTCCAGGCCCGCGCCTCTGCCCCTTCGGGGCAGCCCTTGCAGTCCAGGCCCACGTCGAGGCGCCAGGGGCTGGGGCCGCAGTCTGGAGGTGGCCGGCCAGAGCCTCCTCGCCATGGGCCCTCCTCATCCTCCCGCTCCTTGGAGCCCAGGGGGCAGTCGCACGTGGAACCCAGCGGATCTGAGGAGAGCTGGGGGGATGGGGTAGGGCAGGTGTGGTAGGTGTTAGGCAGGGTGGTCAAGGGGCACATTGGATCACCCAAGAGAATAAGCACAGCACCCACTCTCCTGACCTTGGGTTACGTTTGGGGCAGACCCTGTCCCATGAACCAGGAGAGGGTGAGGCTGGATCGGGGAATGAGGACCAGGAACGTGCAGGTGGTGGTGCTTCACACTGTAAGTGCAGTGCCCGGGGGGAGGGGCGCCGCAGGCTAGCCCACCGCTGTCCCCCTGCCGGCTCTTTTACAGGGTCTGCCCTAGCGTGGTTCACAGGGGCGGAGGTTTTTGTCTGTTTTGTTCTTCAAGGCAGTGCTGGCACCTAGAACAGTGCCTGGCACGCGGTGGCTGCGCAGCCACCATTGACAGAGGGATGAGTGAACGGAAAACCGAGCCATCGCTCTCGGACCACTGCTCGTCTCTCTCTCTGGCCTCGGTGACCCGCCTACCGTCATGGAGTTTTGCTGAGGCCTGAATATGTAGGCAAATCTGTTCCTTGTCATCCCCAGGTTGGCCTCGAAGACCTACTGTGCGCCCAGCCCTGTGCTAGGCATTGGTAAGGGAGAAGCTGATGCCTTTGATTCCAGATGTTCCAAGTCATGGAAGTGCCTTCTTTGGGTGAAATCTCAGGATTCCTGGCCCTCTCTCGGCACCTGGCCGACTCCCCCATGGGGCTGCTCAGAGGCCTGGCGCGAACACACACACAGGGGGCCCCTCCTCCAGGGGACGAGCTGGGCCATGCTGGACAAATCATGAGGTTTCTTTGGACCTTGTGGGTGCTGGGTGCCCGCATGTCCCACCCTCGGGTGCCAATGAACCTTGGACCGAAAGCATCGCCTCAGCACAGGGGGCACAGCATACTGCACGCGGCCGGGAGGGCAGAGGGCCCGGGCCGGGGCGTGAATCCCCGCTCCCCAGGGCCAAACTCGAGGCCTGGCGGCCCTCCTTAGGAGGCAAGCGCCCCGAGAGCCCAGACCGGGTCCATTGCCATGTCCCCAACCCTAGAATGGTGCCAGGTACCTAACACATGCTTGATAAATATTGAGGAGTAAATGAATGCCAGAGACGGACGGTGCCCGCCTCCCAGGGCTTATGGGGAAAGACACGTCCCAGCGCCCCATACACAGGAGCCGCCTCTCCTGTCCTGTGACACAGAATGGCGAGGAGCCAAGGGGGGAGGACATGTGCAGCAGGCTGTGAGTCTGAGCGGCGTGCAGGGCAGCCCAGGGTTAGGCGAGGCTTCTGTGCACCGCAGGCGGCCCTCTGGGCCCTCTCTCTGGTGGGGTCTTGGGCATTTCGGGAGAGGGGCCAGAGGGGACTCACCATCTTACAGGTGGAGAAAGGCTGAGAGCCAATGGCAGAGACAGACAAGAGAGAGACAAGAAGGGGGTCAGAGCATTGCGGTCTCTACCCCAATGCCCAGCCCCTGCGACTTTGGGGGTGGAGAGGTGGACCCCGCAGCGCTTCTCTGTGGTCCGTGCCAAGAAGTGCAGGAGGCTGCCCCGCCCCACCCCCACCCCACCCCCACCCCCACCCCCACCCCCACCCAAGGAGGCGGAGGGATTTCTGGCGCCCTCACCCAGGGTCCCCGCCGCCGCCGCCGGTATGGCCCCAGAGCCCGAGCTCGCCCCAGCCCTGCAGCGCTGAGGGTCCAGGCACTCAGCCCATGCAGCGGGGGTGGGGAGGGATCCGCGCGTGGGTATATGGGGGCGAGTAGTGTCACGGGTCCCGCTGGGGGGCTCGGGTGCTCAAGGTCCTCCTGCTCACGGCCCCTGCCCCCGTAGCTCCCCTCCCTGGCTTTCCCCGGGGGCGTGGGCAGGAGCCGAGGTACCTGGCGGGTGACTGAGGCACGGCGGGGCTCGGTGGGTGGCAAGGAGCGGGCAGGGGCTCGGCGACAGCACAGCGGCGACACAGCGCCGGGCTGAGACAGCACCGCTTTATATAGAAGCTCCCGGGGCATGCCCAGTGCTGGGCAGGGGCGGCTGCGCCGGGGGCCCTGGGGCCAGACCGGCTGCCAGACGACCCGCCCCGTCCCCGCCCCTCCTGCCCAAACCCGCCACCTGTCAGGAAGCCTGGGGTCCCGAAGGAGGCAGGGCAGGCAGGGAGGGCCAAGGAGAGACAGGCAGATGGGATCCTCAGAGACTCAGACTGTCGAACAGAGTCAAGGCCCGTGGAGAGCGATCGCCAGGGAGGGTCACAGATATAGGGCTGTGGCAAAGAAAGGACAGATGTGAGGACAGAGGCAGAATGGAAGAGACCGAAAGAGGACGGGGTGAGGGGAAGGGAGAGCAGAGCCCACAGAAGCGGACTGGGGCCCGCCTTTGGTGGGGGCGGCCAGGACAGCCCTGGGGCGCACAGTGCAGAGCTCTGGCCCTGGCTGGTGGCCTGGGCTCCCCAGCACACGCGGCTGGCAGCTGTCTGTCCCAGCCACGAGCACTCTGCCCGTGGCGGACTCTCCGGAAAGAGCTCCTTGGCCAGGGGTCCCTGTGCACTGGGTCCTCTCCTCCCTTGCCTTTCCCAACCCTTACCAGAGCATCTTGACCACGGTGTGAGATGCCCCATAAAGGGCGGTCCCAGTTCTCTGGGGACAGACACCCTCTGTCCTAGGGGGGCTGAGGAGGGACAGGGTGGGCAGGCTGGGGGAGTACCAGGGGCCAGAGCGTGGGAGGGGGCCACCGGTAGCCCCTGCCCTGCCTGCCAACACCAAGGTCGCCGAACACCCGCAACTTCCCCAGGACACATGTCCTTACGCCCGAGGGCACCCACAGAAGCACACACCCAAGAGGCCTGGCTCAGGGCCGCACATTGGCCCCAGGAAGCACACCCAGAGGCCAGTGCCCTTGGCTCCGGTGTGAGTGTCACACCAGGTGGGTTCCACTCCTCGTCCTGGCGCGGAACCTGGGCACCGCCGCTTTCTGGTTTGCAACTCACTCTCCTCCTCCCTGAAGTGGGTTGGTTCCCATCTCACAAGGCTGTGAGCGCCGCCACAAGCCTGCGCCCTGCACACATCGCTGCTGTCACGGTCCCTCCCCCTCACGCCCCCAAACTCAAGCCATCTCCCTAGAGGACCCCTGGCTGTCCCCGAGGGCCCCCTGGGCTGGGGAGAGTACTGAGGGGCTCATGGCACTTATAGGGACAGAGGTGGCAGTTTTGGGTCCTTTCTGCAACTGCATACAGAGCAGCTTGTGAGGACCCACCCCTGGAGAGACTCCGCGGGGAGGAGTGACTTATGCAGGGTCCCCGAGCCCCGCCCACATTCCCCCAAAGCTTTCCGGGCTGGCTGTTCAGGGACCTCCTGGCTCTGGGTCCCGAGTCCCCAGGTCCGCATGCTCAGGCTCCTGGAATGAGGGGTAGCTGTCCTAGAAGCTGCTTTCTCCCGCAGCGTGGGAACGGGAGCGGGGCACGAAGTCATCGAAGAGCATGAGCTTTGACACTTAGCAAGTGTGAAAACCGAAATTCCACAGGGGTAGATGTTAGAGACCTCACTGGCTTCATTCAGTGATTCCTACGTTGGGCCACATCCAATCCCGCAGTAGAAAGGAGCTCTGAGAAGCCGAGCTGAATGAAAGACTTCACGGGCAGAGGCGCGGGGACAAGGAAGTTACTTTGCAAAAAAGCGGCTTCTTTAGTGCAGGTTTGTCACCGCAGGTCTTTACTGGATGGTAGGGGGTCTAACTAGTGCTGACCGCGTGATTCCTGATTGACAGGTGTAAGATTCCATTTCCAGAGGAGCCACAACTGCCATTAAGTCTTCGTTTCTGTTGTTTTGTTTTTAACACAAACTCCACAAGTTCTGTGGACTCAGTTTTCTTGCCTCGGGTGAGGCTTACGGTGCATCCTTCAGCGTAGGCTCGGCTGGGCAAGGAGTGTCTGGGAGAAGGTAAGTGCTCAGTAGCAGGGACAGCAAGTGTTTCTTTTTTTCAATCTTTCATTTTTTTATGCTCACTCGAAGACATTTTTTTCACTGCTTTTTGAGTGAGGAAGGGAGAGAAAGATCGATCGGTTGCCTTCCGCACGCACCTGGAGCAGGGATCCTATGCAAGCAGACTGGGGACTGAACCTGCAACCTAGGCACATGCCCTGACTGGGAATCAAACCCGCAGACCTTTGGCTACAGGACAACACTCCAACCAACTGAGCCACACCAGCCTAGGTAGCAAGCAGCTCTTGCTTGACCTTGTCCCAGGCGCTGTGGGGAGGACCTTATGTGCCACATCTCACTTAACCCTGTGAGGTAGCAGTCATGGTTCTCTGCCTTTTACAGATGAAGAAAGTGAAGCTCAGAGAGGTGGTGTTACTTGCCCGAGGTCACACAGCTGGTGAAAGGCGGAGCTGGGCTCTTCCCCCTGCCACTGTGTGCGCACACATGCCCAGAGAGCAGCGTGGTTCTGTGCCCACTCCCCGCCCGCCATGGCTAGGCGCCGGCTGCGATGGTATTTGCCTTGTGGGTGCACTGAGGAGAATCAGGGCCGAGCACCTGCGGCTCAGGCTCAGGGTTCTGGGGTTTGGGGCAAGCAGGCTGGGGGGCAGTCCTCCTCTGTCCTTGCCAGGAGCTCCTGCAGGTCACCGGAGGCGGGGCTGAGCCAGGTCGGGGTGGGGTGAGGAGAGACAATGTCTGGGCTGCCACCCAGCCCCACGGAGCACTAACCATAGTAACGACCTTGTGGAGCACTCTTGGGGCCGGAGTGAGAGCAGCTATTACCCCACCGTCTGTAGGAGGAAACTGAGGCTCAGAGAGAGTGAGAGGGCATTTCCCGTGCAGAGACGTTGCAAAGAGCCCATGTCTGATTTCCAAGAGTCTGGGATAGAGTGGGGATGGGGGCAGGGAACCTCTGGGGTGGGTAACAGGTGGAGACCATGGGCCCTTCCCTGGCTCCTGTCTCCTAGGCTGACCCCGGCCAACGTACATCTCTGGCCGCCGTCCCAGCTTTGACCCCACAGGCTGAGTGTTCTCGGGCGCATGGCGTGCCTTGTCTGAGCCCCTTTCCTGGAAGCTTTGTAGGGAGCTGGTCTGCCAGGGTTGCCAAGTGCGGTTGTACAGGTTGCTCGCTTCACAAACCGCGCCTCACCTCCCCTCGGCCAGGCAGGGCTGCGCGCGCCCAAAGGAGAGGCGTCTTTGTCCACCCAGGGCACAGGCACTGCAAGGGCTCGTGCGGCCTGGTGGGGACGGCGTGTGCAGACAAGCACTCTCATGAGGAGGGAACTGGCCCCCTTCTGGTCTCACGCCTTGGCTCCAACTCGCCCTGTGGGTGGGTGATAAGAGCGCCTGTCCAGAAAACCTTTCCTTGAGCAGAAAAGGCAGTGACTCAGCCCCACCTGGAGGGGCCCTGCTGGAGACCACCTGCCCCTGGGGTCTACATCCAGGGAAGCCTGCTGCCCCTGTGGCCCCCTTCCAGCCTTGTGACGGATGCTGGGGCCGGCCAAGACTGTTCCTGTCCTGTTCCGTGGCTCTCCCAGAAGAATAGTTGAGCCCACGGAGGGCTGGGAGTTTTGGGGGGGGGGGCGCTCCCGAGAAATTGCCCCTACCCAACCTGCTACAGTGCCCGAGGTCCCGTAGCCGCCCAGCCCTCAGGCTAACGCGTGGCCTAGAAGGCACGGGGCCTGCACTCTGCCAGCTCTGGCTCTCACTGTGACTTTGGGCTGGGTACTCAGCCCCCCCCCCAGTCTCTGATCTCTCTTTGCCTAACGCTCCACCTGCAGAGAGAGGGCTTGGGGAGGGGTCTGAGAAAAGGGGCTGTTACTTGCAGGTGAGTGGGCGATTATTAATGCGGCTTCCTAGTGTGGGGGGTGGGGCGGGGCTCTCGAAGTTCTTTAAACTGAGGTGGTCCAGCTGCTGCTCCACGCTCAGAGGCTGGGACCCAGGCTGGGGCAGGCCGCGGGAGCGGGTGGGAGCAGGAGAGAGGGCAGCCCCGGGAGGGCCGACCGAGGTGGGTGCCCAGTGATGGGGGCTGGGTTCGCAGCTGCCAGTGTGGCGGTGGGCGTAAACCTGGGGTCTGCCGTGGGCAGTGAGGCCTTGGCCAAGTTCCCTCCCCTCGCGAGCCTCAGTTTCCCCCAGGAAACTGCAGATCTGGGTTTGGACCTCTGTGATGTGTCCTCCCGCCTCCATGGGAGGGGGATGCTCTGCCCTGGGCCCAAGGCCTGGCCAGGCGCAGAGTCAGCTACACACAAACACGGGCAGGGGGAGCCCACGCCCGCAGCGTGTGGCCCTGTCGTTAGAAAGTTCTGACCCACAGCCGGTGATGTTCCAGCACGTCCGGCCACTGGGACGGGCCGGCTGACCCCTCAGCCAGCTGGGCCGGACTCCAGGCACTTTCTCCCCTCCTCCCGAGTCCTGCCGTGCTCGCACCCTCAGCCTTCCAGGGCGGGCGGCAGGGCAGGAATGGGCGCCCAGCGAAGCGAGCGTGCGCCGGAACCAGCCCTGTTGTCCTGGCGATGGCTGGTGTCCCAGGCACCCACGGGGGCAATTAGAGAGTGTGGGCGGGGGTTTCCATGGTGGCAGTCCCAAGGGGTTGCAGGAAGGCTTCAGCGGGGGACAAGGGCCGGCGGGACCTTTCTTCTTTGTCCTGGGCACACTAGGCCTTTGTCCCCGCCTGGCTTGCCCTGCCCTCTCTGAAAACAGGGCAAGGATTGTGGGTGGGGTGTAGACCTGGGTTAAGGCCCCCTATTCGGTGGGGGGGGGGTCCTGAACCAGACTTAGGGGAGGGGCAGAATAGGACATAAACCCCACTTCTGGGCCCAGCACCCACTTGGGGATCCCTGCTCCCACAGGTGCTACCTGCCCCTAAGCGGCTGAGCAAGGCAGCTTACCGTTGGGTCCTGTGGCTGGTAAACACCTTCCAGCGGCCAATGGGCAGCCTGGGTGTGTCTGGTGGAACCGGGGCTGGACCAGGAGAGTCCGGGCTGCGTGCATGTGTGTGTGTGTGGCGAGGTGGGGACGTGGGGAGGTGGGCCGTAGGGAGGGGTAGGGAGGGGCAGCTGGTTTAGGGTTAGGGATGGAAGACATTTGATCCAACTCCAGCCAGGCTTCTGCTCAGTCAGACTTTATTCCAGGCTCCCCCCCAGGAGACCTTTGGGGTCCCCTAGCCCAGCTGGCCGCCTGACCCCCAGGCGAGCTGCTTCTGGGTCTGCAAGGGGGCAGCTCTGTGGGCTGACGGTAGGCCTGGGCCCCCGCGCCCCTGTCTGTGGCCTTCCTTCGTCCTGCGCCTGGCATAGTTGGTGGTGAGGAACGAGTGCAGAAAACAAGATGAAGCCGGTATAGCTAAGCTGACTCAAAACGGAGTCTGTACCATCTAGCTGGCACAGCGGGTTCATGAGGAAATTATTTTACTTTAGCCTGAGGACTTAAACTCGTGAACTTTTCATTTGCACATCAACGCCTGGAGATTTATAAATTCCTATATACAGGCCTTAGGAACAGATGAAGAACTTAGGAAAGAACGCCCGCGTGCCCAGACTGCCCGGCATCTGGCAGGCGGCCATCTCCTGCCGCCCGGAGCCTGCCGGCGCGGGCCCGCTCTTCTCGGGAAGGCGCCTCTCACGCCGGAACGCTCCGCTTTTCTTTCCTCGGGACGCTCCGGGTACTGCCTACTCATGTTTCTGGTGTGCAAACTCTAAGAATTTTGAATAAATTGTCATCGTTTATTTGTAGCCGACACCTCTCGGTTCATGTACACTTGCTGACAGGGAGAAGGCAACGGAGCCACTAAATCCCAGCGATAAAGTGCGGTGCCCGTCTGTGAGGTGGCGTCAGCCGGTCAGGCGACTGGGGTCCAGGGACACCGAGTCCATGGTACCCTCAGAGGTGGGACCTTCAGAACCGGGTGTCCAAGAAGGAGGTGGAGCCTCGATGGGACCTGGGGGGGCCCTCAATGGGGGGGCCCCTGGACCGAGTCAGGAGCCCATGGAAAGTCTTGCCTCGGGTCTGGGGCTTGCGCCGGGGCGGCCTGGGCTCTTCCGGGGGCTGCACCACGATGCGGGGCACCTCGGGCCTGGTGCCTCCCCGCACCCCTGCCAGCTGCTGGGCCTCAAAGATGGCTTGGGCCCCGGCCAGGCGGGCCTTCGGCCGCGGGGGTGGCCCGGATGTCGACTCTGGCAGCTGGGCTAGCTGGGCCTTGATCTCCCGCTGGAGGTCCTGCTCGGACAGGGTCACGCTGTGCACCTGCAGGGAGCGGTTGGTACTGAGTGTGCCTGGACCGTGGGAGGGCAGGAAGTCGCGGGGCCCCCGCGGGGCAGGTAGCGCACAGCCCCAGGAAGTGGCTGAGGGCTGATGGCTGGGCCCACCGACAGCCGCGCTACGGGAGCCGCAGCAGGCCCTTCGGCGCCCGGAGTTTTCACATGCGCTGCTGCTCAGAGGGCAGGAACCGAGCGCTCTTTCTCACTCTGACTTCCAGCTCTGGGACTCAGTTTCCCCAACTGCAGCAGGGGAGGGCGGGCAGGGGGCACCCACCTGGGACATGAAGGTCTCCTCCTGCAGCTGGGGGGAGGGGATGGCTCGAAGGGCACCAAGCGTCTCCAGGAGCCCCGGGCAGGCCTGGCGCTGTTCTGCGGTGCCCAGCGCCAGGCGCACCAGCGTCAGCCCCACGCGGAACAGCACCTTCACACCTGCGGAGCGGGAGCGCGCTCAGTGGGGCCCAGCCCTCCCTTCCTCCGTTCTGCACCTGCGGGTGCCCTCTCCTCCAGATCCTTCCGCCTCCCGAGGTCTGCGGCCACAGCCCAGCCAGGAGCAAGGACTGACAGGAGGAGGGGTGCAATTTGGGGTCACGGGTGAGCATGTCTCAGCAGCCACAGAGGCTCCGCGGCAGAGCAGCCTGCCAGGAGCCAGGGGTGACCCACAACTTCACGCCAAGCCTTCTCTCTCTGGGCCTCAGCTCCTTGTCCCTACAAGGAAGGGCTGGGGGCAGGGCAGTTGCCCATTACGGCCCTTCCAGTTCAGATCTGTGACCTTCTGGTTCCAGAGGGATTCTGGCCAGAGGGATTCTGCATCCCTAAAGCAAGAGCAGAGTGCACACAGGTGTGACCTTGGGCCATCCCCAGAATCCTCAGAATCCCTTCCAGGCAGCCTCAGGCCTGCTGAGCAGAGCAGTCAAGGGACCAGCGAGGCCTAGCCACAACTGTTACTTGTAAAGAGATGGTAGAGATGACTGGCACCTTTCTGAAAGGGAGCCCAGGGCAGTGCTTGTGCAGCAGAGAGGGCAGGGGCAGCTCAGCTGCCCTGATCAGGCCCTGCCCTGCCTCACCCTGGAGGTTGGAGGCTGGAGGGGAGGCGGCCCATGGATGGCGACTTGGACACCCATGGCCAGAGCTCTAAGCCAGCCTGGAGCCAACACGGACACAGCAGGCGTTCAATAAATGGGCTGATTGATGTCTACCATTTTTTTAGATGCAACTGCTAGACAGCCCATATGGAACAGAATGCAGGTGGGTTACTGATGGGAGAACCAAGGCAGAGTCCAATGCAGTCCTGCGCTGACTGCCCCACTCTTGGCCTGGCCCAGGCACCCACCTCTCCATGCCCGCGCCCTCAAGTCATCTGCTTGCACCCTGCGGCAGGGTCCTGCCTGGGCTCCCAGCCTCCACCTGCCCCTGCACATGTGCCCCCTCCACGGAGCACCACAAGCATCTTTAAGAGCAGCAGTCTTCCACCCTGGCTGGTGTGGCTCAGTGGATTGAGTGCTGGCTTGTGAAGGAAAGGGCTGCCAGTTCAATTCCCAGCCAAGGCACAGGCCAGGTCCCCAGTAGGGGGCGCTTGAGAAGCAACCATGCGTTGATGTTTCTCTCCCTTTCTTCCTCCCTTCCCCTCTCTCTAAAAAGGAGCAGCAGCCTCTTCCTGTCGCTCCCCTCTAACACTCACCACCTCTAACACTTACGTCCCTGGCTTTATTTTCTCTGTGGCACTGGCGACAATCTATAAATATCTTGTTAACTTCATTACAGTCGCCTTCCTTCGCCCCTGCCCAGAATGCCTGTCTGGTCACTCAGGTGGCCCCAGTGTCCAGTGACAAGCACCAAGTAGGCGCTTGGGACAGGGGGCATGTCCCCACGGTGCCAGTGCCCAAGCCCCTACACCTCAGTGATCTCCCCAGCTCCTGCCCACTCTACCTGGAGGGAGCCTCCATGGCTCCAGCCCACCCCCAGGCAGAGGCTGCCCTCTCTAAGGTGGTCTCACCGCATGGGGCAGGGACTGCCATTCGTTGCACCAGGGAAGTGTATGGCCTGGTGGCTGGGCTGTTTCGCCAGAGCTGGCAGGGTGCCATTGCCCACAGCACACCCCAGCCCCTAGACCCAGGGCAGAGCTGGCGGCCAGCTCCCTGTGTACACTGAGCACCTGAGGCTGTAGCCCTCCCCTACCACGGCCTGGGGGCTGCCCACTCACCCTCACTGAGGAAGGCGTCCCAGACACGCAGCACTGTGGGGAAAGGCAGGGAGCGGGCGAAGAGGCACAGGAACCACTCGGGCAGGTAGAGCAGGGGCCCCACGCCCACCTGCTGCAGGTGCTTGTACACGCGTGGGAACAGCCGCCGCAGCAGGGCCATGAACACCTCGGCATCCAGCTGCACGGCTTCCTGTGACCACGTCCGTCCATCAGCACTCCCCTCCCAAGGCCCAGGCCCTGCCCTCTCAGACCCAGGCCCCCATCCACCTGCCCAGACCCTCCCGCGGTGCCCCCCGGGCCCCGTCCCAGCCCTCACCATGTGGGGCCCGTAGTAGCCAGGCAGGTAGAGCTCGCAGATCTGCACCAGGCACCAGAAGGCCTCCTGGGGGGAGAGCACAGGCCATGAGTGCCCACAACGAAGGGGACCGCAGGGCGGGCAAGGGAGCACAGGGGAGGCCCTGAACACCACCTGCGGCAACTCTGGAGCTGGGAGCCTAGACTTGGTGCTGCGGGGCTCTTACTAAAGCCACCCTGTGCCCAGGGAGAGACCAACCCCTGGGCTTAGGTGGTTGGAAGTCACAGGGATCAGGGGACTGAATATGAAGGTCACAGGGCTGGGCTCACTGGGCAAGCAGTGGGAGGATCCCAAAATTCAAGCTCTGGGTTCTTGGGGTCATTGGATCAGGAATTATGGTCACAGGGTTCAGAATCAGGAGTCATGAGGTCATGTGACGACATCCAGCCTCTAAGATCACCAGGCAAGGGGCAAAGGTAAAGGGTCCTGGGTTCCTGGAGTCAAGGCTGTTGGGCTTGAAGGTGACTGAGGGTGGCAGTAATGAGGCCCTGGTTCACTAGGGCAGGACCTGGGAATCAAGTATCCCAGGTCCTGGGGTCAGGCTTCCTGGGGTTACGAGATCATGGGTCCAGGGCACAGGATTACTAGGTCCCCAGGTCACTAGGGATGGGGATCAAGGGTCCCGGATACCTGAATTTAGAGTCCCTAGGATTGGGAGTTACAGTCGCAGGGGTTGGGGAGTCAGGGCCTTGCGCCCCTAGAGCAGGGGGGAGGGCACTCACCTCCGGGGGCAGGTGCATGAGTAGCACGGCAGCCACAGGGCCCTGGGCCTGGCAGTAACCCTGTTCCGGCCGATACAGGGTGTAGGCCTTGAGTACCTGCAGGAGACCCTGCTGCCTGTGCCAGAAGACCCCATTAGGGGACAGTCCCCTGGCCATCCCTCCCCCACCCTCTGGCAGCTTCTGCCCAGGTCTCACCACCCTGGCCTTGCTGGGTCCCCAGAGATGCAAAGGCATAAAGCTGGGGGTGGGGAGGGGTGGGTGGACCAAACAACTGGGGTTGAGGCTGGGGGTCCCTGAGAGTCACTGGCCTCGTACCCGTGACCCTGGGGTGACACAAACATCTCATGCAGAGGGAACTGGCGGTGCAGGTCCCTGCCGATGGTTTCCATCCACTGTGGGTCTCCTGGGGCCTCAGCCAGTTCCTGCGGGTGGGCAGGAAGGTAGGTGTGAGGGCTCAGAGTGGGGAAGGGCTCTGGGAAGGGGAGGTGGGACCCCTGCCAACTCCTTTACCTGATAAGTACCCGGGCTGTTCTTCTGACACACGTGGGCCCCGCACAGCAGGGGCCAGCACCGGGCCCGCAGGGCTGAAGGGATGCCCTTCCGGCACTGCATCTTTACCTGCGGGTGAGGCCAAGGTCCCATCAGGCCGGCCGGGCCGGCCTCCCCTGGTCCTCTTCGCAGGCACCAAACACAACTTATCATCGGGCAAGGGCCCCTTTGGGTGGTAGGGGGAAAAGGCAGGAGGTGCTGGGACACAGGAGGGGTAAATGTTGCCGGGGCCTGGACCAAGGCAAAGGGGGATGAGCCAAGGAGGCCTGGGTGGGGTCGCTGTCCCCCTCACCTTCTTGTACCGCCGAGACATGGTCTTCTCCCAATGCGAAGTCATCTCCACCCATTTCATCTCCCTTTGGCGGATGAGGTCTACAGAAGGGCAACCTGGCCTGGGAGCACATTGCACCGGTATCCAGGTGCAGGGCAGCTGTTACCGAGAGCCCACATCTGCCACTCCCATGCAACCTGGGCAGCCACTGAGGGGGTGACCTGTCACCCAGGAGTTGCCAGTGGTTGTCATGGAGACGGGAAAGGATGTGGCTCTGATGTGGGCAGAAGCAGGAAAGACTGAAGAGGGTGTGTTGGTATGTGTTGGGGGAGGGGCTGGTTGGCTGTCCCCCAGGACAGGCACACGGACAACTCATAGGGGAAGCTGGGTGGATCGAGCCCTGTGCTAGAAGCCAGGAGTCCTGAATTTGAGCCTGGTTCTGTCACTGAGCTGCTGCGTGACCTCAGGCAAGTTCCTTTGTGTCTCTGGACTTGTTTGTTATACTGTCTGTACATTGGGAAGGGGGAGGGTAGGTGAAAGGGTGTGTGTTCTGTGATGCAGATTTGGGGTTCCTGGGCCAGAGATTAAAAGGGGAAGGATTTCTGGCTCCAAGGATGGGTGCAAACCCTGGAGGTAAGGGGTAAAAGAGACACACCTGGACACTTCATCCCAGCCCTACCATCCTTAGCATTCTACCTGGAGCCTGAGGAACCTGGCTGAGTCCCCAGACCCTCCCAGGATCCTTGAGATTGGGCCTCTCTCTAGAATTTAGCCCTCAGCCCCCACCCTCAATCCCAGTACCCTTCATCCCCTCGGGGCACCCTTCCCCACTTACCCTGGCTCCGCTGAGCTGCCCCCAATGAAGCCGTAGCGGTCAGCCTGGCGATATGGGCCTGGTCCGCTCAGCTCTGAGTCAGACCCCAGCGAGCTGGAGTCATCCTGCAGCTCACAGGGCTGCGCCAGGTCCTCACCCAGGGCCTGGGCCATGATGCCCCAGACCCCCCAGGGCAACGCGCTGAAAGATGCGGGGAGAGCCAGTGTGAGAGGCAGCTCCCGGCCAGCCTGGGGCCTGGGCTTCCATGCACCAGTCCCCAGCCGCAGGGCCTGGCTGTGGGGTCAGAGGGAGGAGGTTTCAAGTTATTTCTCCAAGACCCCTCTGTGCCCTCTTCTGGAGGGGGTTAGGCTCTGAAGGGGTGGAAAGGCCAGGCTCTGTACAGACTCAGCCCCAGGCCCAGCCCCTGTCCCCGTTAGCCCAGCTTACCTCCCTGCCGCACCTCACCTCCTCTCACTTCCTCCTCAGCCACAGCTTCAACCACCCACTGGGGGCCCCTCCCCAGTGTGTATGGGGGGGTCACCCCTTCCTCTCAGAGCCTCTTCCGGCCTACCCCAGTGCCCCTAGGCCACGGGCTCCTCCCACCCACCCCAAGGGTTGGGTGGCTGCAGGCTTGGGTTCCTGCACTGCATGCGATGGGGCCAGGGCCTGTCAGGTAGAGAGGCCAGGCTGCCTCCAGTGTTGGATCCTGACATGTAAAACACTCAATGCAGGGCCTCAGGGAGATTTATGGTGTATTTATTTATTTATTTAAAAATTTCTTTACCTCCAGAGAGAGGGAAGGGAGAGAGAAAGAGAGAGACATCGGTGTGCAAGAGATACACCCACCAGTTGCCTTGCACACATCCCCAGCTGGGAACCCGGCCCGCAACCCAGGCCTGTGCCCTGACTGGGAATCGAACTGGCAACCTTTTGGTTCATAGGCTGGTGCTTAGCCCACTGAGCCACACCAGCCAGGGCAAAAAGTAATACTTTTAACATGCACAAAATGCAGCATTTTTATGCTACTCAATAGGCAATGGTGAGACTATAAATATTAGTTTAGATTGCACCACAGGCAGCTTGAGCCAAAAATGGTCTCTGAGTTCTGCCGTCTCGGTCTGGTCAGCCGCCTGGGGGGGCCTCAGAGATTCGATAGGTAGAGGTTCTCAGTGAATGTGAGACCAGCCCCTTGCTAGCTCTGGGCCTCCTTTTCTGCAACTTAAAGGACTGAATCCAGTGTGCGGGGAAGTGATCGTCAACGTGCTCGCACCAGGTGGGAGGTGCTGCTTAGCCCCTGAAAGAGAAAAACAACTTCCACAGTACTTCCGGTCCCGTATCTTGCGAATCGGGCTGGGTAATCCCACAGGGGCAGAACCTGACTCAACCCCATCCCACAAAGTCCCGCCCATCGATCAGGCCCCGCCCCGTCACCGAGACCCCGCCTCCCGGGGCGCCATGGCGCTGCGCCCGGGTGCCAGCGGAGGCGCTATGGAGCTGGGGCAGCGGGCTCGGAGCGAGCGGGGCGGGGCGGACCAGGGAGGGCGGAAGGAGCGCCAGGCCGGAAGGAGGCGGCGGAGGGCGGGAGGCAAGAGCGGGTCCGGAGCTGCTGGGCCGGAGCGGCGGAGCCGCCATGTCCGACAGCGAGAAGCTCAACCTGGACTCTATCATCGGGCGCCTGCTGGAAGGTTGGCCGGGGGCGGGGGAGGTCGGCACCCGCCGCGCCCTGACCCCCGGCCCGGCCCGGAAGTGGCGCCAAGGCGCGCCTGCACCTCCCAGGGCCAGCTTAGACTGGGCGGGGACGGGCCGCGAGGTTCCGCGGCCGCGGCCGCCCCCCACTCGCGACGCGCCCGAGAGTCTGGGGCTGCTGGGGCACGGGGCGCAGCCCTCCTTTCCTGGGCCGGGGGCGCACGGGTTGGCCTGGTTTGGAGTGAGGGAGAAACCTGAAAAACATAGCACCCCCCCTCCTCCGCCACACCGCGGGAAAGGGTCCAGCGCTGTGGGGTCTAGGGTGGCACCCCCTGCCTCAGAGTCCCTTAGAGCGCCTTGAGGGTAGATAGGGAGGCTACCTCTTGTTCTTGGAGGCTCAGCAGCACCATCTGCCCCAGGCAAGGAGGGGCCTAGGAGGCCCTCGCGCCCCCAGAAGTGCCCATGGAGTACCCGTGTCACCCACCCTCCTCCTGCCTGAGGGACCAGGGTCCTGACGCCCATTCTGCCTCCAGTGCAGGGCTCGCGGCCTGGAAAGAATGTACAGCTGACAGAGAACGAGATCCGTGGTCTGTGCCTCAAATCCCGTGAGATTTTCTTGAGCCAGCCCATTCTTCTGGAGCTGGAGGCACCCCTCAAGATCTGCGGTGAGACCCCTGCCCAGCCCCTTTTGCTTCCTGAAGGTGGCATTGGCTCATCAAATCCCTGGATCCTTCTTATCTTGAGCCCAACCCTGGCCCTGGGTTCAAGCCTAGACCCTGAACCCAGTGCTGACCTGGTTCCCTGGGTCACAGGTGATATCCATGGCCAGTACTACGACCTTCTGCGGCTGTTCGAATATGGGGGCTTCCCTCCAGAGAGCAACTACCTCTTCCTGGGGGACTATGTAGACCGGGGCAAGCAGTCGCTGGAAACCATCTGCCTGCTGCTGGCCTATAAGATCAAGTATCCCGAGAATTTCTTCCTGCTCCGTGGGAACCACGAGTGTGCCAGCATCAACCGCATCTATGGCTTCTATGATGAGTGTGAGTGGCTTCGTGCCCGGGGCTGCCCCATGCCTGAAGAGCTCTCCCTGTCTTCGGTGGCAGTCTCATGTTGGCCTGGTGGTAGGGTGGGATCTGTGTCTGACAGCTGCTAGACTGTGAGCCATGTGAAGGCAGGATCCTGCCCTCCTGTCTTAGGGTCCGGCACCCAGCAGGGATATGGTAAATGGTTGCTGACGGAAGGGGTGTTCACATTCTAATGTAGGGCCCTGTCTGGTGACACTCCCTCTAGTACATCTGTTACCTAAGCATTTAGGATGCCTAGCTGGACGGGACTCTGCTGGCCAGGAGCTGAGATAAACCAGACCTGGTATTGGCCTGGTCCTGCTCATTGGGTAGGGGTGGGTACCAACCCTGACATTGTTCTGGACTAGAACTCGGGTTCTGTAGACTCAGCTGCTGTAGAATTCCTCCTGAAGGCTGGGAAGCAGCGGGGTGGGCATAAGGGTTCCCTTCTTGCCTTCCACACTCTTCTAGCTGTGTCTGGGGGCCCTGGGGGCCTTAGCATGAGCTGTCTCCTTCCTCTGTGCAGGCAAGAGACGCTACAACATTAAACTGTGGAAAACCTTCACCGACTGCTTCAACTGCCTGCCGATCGCTGCCATTGTGGACGAGAAGATCTTCTGCTGCCATGGAGGTGAGGGTGGCTCTGGGGCACCTGCTGAGGGACTTTATGGGAAGAAAAGCCCAGCCACATCCCTGAGGCCTAGGGAAGAAGCTGTCAGCTGGAGGCCTTGTTCCCAGTCGCCTGGAACAGCCCTCCCTGCCTGGGGTCTGGGCTGGGATCACTTATTTATTGCAGGGTGTTTCCCTGCTCCCCAGTGTTAGGTTGTACTCTCCGCCATTTTAGCCTCAGGATTGTGCATGGAATTTGCTTGTTCTATCTAGGGAGCTCTATGCTCCCGAGGGGCAGGGACTGGAAGAGGCATAAGGCGAGGAGTCCTGCCTGCCTGGGCTCCCGGAAGTCCAGGAGAGGGCCTGAAGGTCGGGGCAGAGGCTGACTAGCCTGGGCTTTCTGGAGGAGGGAGGGGTCCTTATTTTGAGGCTTGAGGAAGTGATGTGTCCTCTGCACCCCCCAGGCCTGTCCCCAGACCTGCAGTCCATGGAGCAGATTCGGCGTATCATGCGGCCCACAGATGTGCCCGACCAGGGGCTATTATGTGACCTGCTGTGGTCTGACCCTGACAAGGATGTGCAGGGCTGGGGCGAGAACGACCGTGGTGTCTCCTTTACCTTTGGAGCTGAGGTGGTGGCCAAGTTTCTGCACAAGCATGACTTGGACCTCATCTGTCGGGCACACCAGGTGGGCTGGCAGCTCTGGTCCAGGTGGGAGTAGGGCCTGGGCAGTCAGCACCTGCATAACTAACTGCCCCATCCTTGTCCAGGTGGTAGAAGATGGCTATGAGTTCTTTGCCAAGCGGCAGCTGGTGACACTCTTTTCAGCTCCCAACTACTGTGGCGAGTTTGACAATGCAGGCGCCATGATGAGTGTGGACGAGACACTCATGTGCTCTTTCCAGGTGGGGATGGGGGAGGAAGGGGCAGGAAGGGGCAGGTGGCCCCATGGCTCAGCCCTGTGACCCTGACCAGCGTTGTCTCTTTTAGATCCTCAAGCCCGCCGACAAGAACAAGGGGAAATACGGGCAGTTCAGTGGCCTGAACCCTGGTGGCCGGCCCATCACCCCACCCCGGAACTCCGCCAAAGCCAAGAAATAGTGATCACGAGCCCGCCCTCTGCCCCAGATGGTGGATTGTACAGAAACCACGTAGCCATGGGGGGTCATGCTGGCCTCCCAGCCCTGCTAATCACAGGGACACGGAGCCTTGGTGTACTTTTTTTTTTCTTTTTTTAAATGAATCAATAGCAGCGTCCAGTCCTCCAGGGCTCCCTCTGCCTGTGCCTTGGTGGCTACAGGCAGGATCCTGGGGCTGAGGCTGCAGCTCAGGGCAAAGCAGGGCCAGATTGTGGGTCTCCAGCCTTGCTTGGCCTCAGGGCTGGCAGCTGCATCCCGAACAACCCATCTGGTCTCTTGAATAAAGGTCAAAGCTGGATTCTTGCCTTGGCCTGTCTCCCTTGTCCCAGACCCACTTGGGAGGGCAGGCTTGCTGGACATGGGGCCCCGGCCGCATGTTGAGGCCCACGGGGTCTCCTAGAATTCCTAGCCAGGGCCAAAGAATATTGAAAAAGCAAGAGCAGTCTGCCAGCCATAGGAGATCCCAGAGGTATGCCAAGGGTCTCGGGGGAAGAGACAGCATGATAGGCAGGAAAGGTGGGTTGGCAGGGGCAGCAGCCCCACTGTGCTTTTTCTTAGGGAAGGCAAGTGTCCAGCTTTGGCTGCAAGGTTGGAAGGTGGACCTTCCTTCAGTGCCAAGCCTGGAAACAGACATGATTGGTTGGAGGTTAGGGGGACATGACAGGGCCCAGACCAGTTTCCAATAGCCAGTCAGGACAAGGGGACACAGCAGGACCAGCCAGCTATGCCCCCGGCTGGTGCTGGCAGTGGGGGGGCCACGGCTCCATGTAGTCATGGCCTCTGGACACAGAGGTTTCTCAGTTCAGCCTTCGCCCTCGCTGTCTTCAGCCAGCACAGGGCTGGGGTGCAGTGGGGAGTGTCCCTGGCCCAGGATGGAGCCAAAGAACAATGAGCGGAACTGGAAGAAAAGGACGCTGAGTGAGCCATGGAGACTGCTCCCTCCTGGCCTCCCATCCCTGGTCTCCACCTCCAGCCCCTACCTTCTTGGGTGGGGGGGTCCCAGGCACTGTACTGAGCTCAGCCTCAGTTTCATCTTCCTCCTCAGAGTGGCAGGGGGACTGGAGGCCAGGTGAGAGGGAAATGGAGGGGAGTGTCCGTGAGCTCTCACTGCCCACAGTGGTTTCCATGGCGATCATGTAAGAGTCAATGTCGTCATTGGCAAAGTCATCCAGGTGGGGGGTGCTGCAAGGTAGAGATGATGTCAGTGAAAAATGAAAAGACAGAAGGCAGAGCCCACCATGGAGGGCTGGGGGTGGGGGGTTGCTGTGGGGGCCTCGCGAGCTCTGGTGATCTCTCAGTTTTATTACTTCCTGATTTGGTTGGAGGAGAGAGGATATAGGGGTTAAGTGGCAACTTCCTGGAGGGGGTGGGCCTGGAATCATTTGGTCAGAGTTTGGGTGGGGGCCTGAGGGAGGCATCCTGGGGTCCAGTCTCGCTCAGCTGGGGGAGGGGTGCAGCGAGTCTGGTGAGCTGGGCCACTTGGAGCCCAAGCCCCTACCTTCCCAGGAGACAGGAGCTGGAGAGCACTAGGGCCCAGGGATCTGCTGGGCGGGTGGCCAGACCGAACTTCCTCTGCTGAACTATACCGGGCCCATCCTCCCCAACCCACCTGCCCTTCCAGCCACCTGCTTCCCACCCCACGTAGCCCCTCGCCTCCAGCAGCCCCCTTTCCCTCCTTGCCTGGGAGGCGGCTCAGAGGGGAGGCCTCAGCCAGAGAAGGAAGCTAGCCTGACCTTGGGGACACTTCCCTGGGTGGGAGGGATCTCTGAGCACAGCTGACCAGGAAGGCTGAGCCTGTGGGGCTGGAAGCTGTGAGCACTGCAGGGGCTGGGGCCTGACAGGAAGTATCTGCGTGTGCGGAGGGGGGAGAGGGCAAGCAGCAGGCTCGGGCCAGGGTGCACAGAGGTGAGGACAGGAGTGGACCTGGGGGAACCCTCACCTGTGAGCCTGGAGCTGAGGCGCTGGCCGGCGGACCTCTAGGGAGTGCAGGTCCTGGGAGTTCGGGGATGGATCCGAGAGCGTGGCCAGGACAAAGTGGCCATCCAGCAGAGAGTCGCTGATGGCAAAGATGGCTGGCCTGGGCAGGTGATAGGTCCCAAACAAGGTAAGGGTCCTTTGGCTCCTGACCCCAGAGCCCTCCCCTCCCTGTCCTGAGGCTGGGCATTACCTGCCAGGGGTATCGAAGTGAATGCTAAGAGACAGGTTTGCCGACTCTGCGAAGCTCAGGAGCCCCTGAGGGGAGGGGCAGAACAGTTGAGGCCCTGGGCCCGGCACGGCGGTCAGGGCGGTCAGGGTATGGGGAGCTCACCCGGAACTCTTTGAGGCAGAAAGTGATGGCCACCCCTTCCTGGGCCTGCAGCTGCTGGAAGTCCTCTTCTCCAATGCTCATCTCAGTCATCATGGCTTTGACGGTGCTGTCTGTGCGGGCAGGAACAGGAAGAACCTGAGCCCATCGGTCCCAGCCCCTCCCACCCCAGCCCTGCTGCCCATCCCCGGCCCTGTCCAGCTCTCTCACCTGCCTCTTCATCCTGGTAGCTGCGCAGGATGACCCTGCGGCCACGGCTAACGCCCAGCGTCACTTCAGCCAGTGCAAGGGGGAAGGGCAGGATGGCCTCCCCCAGAACCCTGTGAAGAGGACACAGCATTACACTTAAGGCTTGGCCCTGCTCGGTGGCTTTGCTCTCAGAGGACCTGAGGCAGGGCAGTGACGTGTTCACTGGCACTGTAGGGGAAAGGCCATGGGCCAGGCCCAGCATGCCCCAGGAAGGAGAACATGCCCCATGAGACGCTCCCAGGCTGTCATGGGAGTGAAATCCACTGCAAAGGACAGGCAGATGAAACTAGAGTCCAGAGAAGGCAGCAGGAAGGATGGGCTGCGCCCAGCAGGCAGCACCTGCCCATCCAGGCATAGGAAACCACATCCATGCTGTACTTATGAATTTGGCCTTCAGAAAGAGCCCTTACATCCTTGTTTTTTAGGTGTACACGGGTGATAGTTACAAATGATATAATCTAGAATTAGCCTCAAGACAATTGAGACAGAAGCTGGCACCTGCTTTTTTATTTTTAAAAGGTTTTATTTATTTTTAGAGAGGGGGGAGGGAGAAAGAGGGAGAGAAACATCGATGTGTGGTTGCCTCTCAAGCGCCCCCTACCGAGGACCTGGCCAGCAACCCAGGCGTGTGCCCTAACTGGGAATCAAAGCTGTGACCTTTTGGTTCACAGGCTGGAGCTCAATCCACTGAGCCACACCTGCCAGGGCTGGTATCTGCTTTTATAGATCCTTAAAATTGTCCATGAGAAAAAGAGGGGATAGTACTCATTAAGAGAGAAATAGCCTCAAAATCCAGACCAGAGGTGACAGCCTTTCCTCTTTCTTTACCCAAAAGAGCCCTATCAACTGAACTTGGAAAATCAGACTGTAGAGACCCAAAGGGACCTTCAGGTTACTACTTACGGCTATCTAAAGAAATGGACAAGACCTTGGGCTACTTGAATGCCAAAAGCACCAGCACGGGCAGGAAGGGAGCCACTCTTCCGCACTGGTCTTTGCCTGGGGCCTGTGCCTGGACTGGAGTCCCCATCTCCCAGGCCGGGCACAGCCCTGGGTGCTCAGATTGCCCAGAATGGTTCCAGCCCCAGAGCTGCCTGTTTAGGCCGTCACCCTCGACCACGACCCTCACCCCCAACCTGCAGCCTCCTGCCTTTCCCTGAAGACTTCTTAAAACTAGAGAGAGAGCAGGTAGGAAGACAGGCACCTGGGGATGGGGAACATCCCCAGAAGGATAACCAAGCCAGGGAGAGGTTTTGAGCCCCTGAGCCTGAGCCACAAAGCTTAAAGACGGACCTTCACAGCTTCTCAGGCCAGAGACCTAAGAGAGAAGTTAGAATGGGTCTTACTGGCCAGAAAGCCAAGCCAGACACTTGGCATGGAGAATAGAGGCTCCTGAAGACAGTGAGCAGCCCACAGCAAGGGAGCCCCTGTGTCTCCACTCAGCCTCTTCCCCTGAAGCGCCAGAAAAGGGCTGATGAATGCTGAGGCTCACAGAAACCCTGTAGGGGGAATGGTAGAGGTGCCTTCTTAAGGCCCCAAAGAAGGAAGACATAGACCCAGGGCTCAGCTTTTGGGGAGGGGTGTACTTACTTTGCTGGGGCTCGGAGCACGTGGGGGCAGGAGGCTGGGTCGAAGACAGCCTGCAGGGACTCACAGTCCTGGAAGGACAGGTTGTGAGTCTTCCTTACCCCTGGACAGGCAGACAGGGTCTCAGAGGGCCTCGCCAACCTCCACCCTCACACCCTGGGGACCCCCTGGCTGGCCAGCTGCCCACTCACCATATTTGCAGTGCAGCTGGACCACCAGGCGGCTGCTCCTGCTGTTCATGGAGATGCAGCATTTCTCCACGGTCTTCTCCAGCATCGTCAGCGAGCGGAAGACGGACACGAACGACTAAGTAGGGGAAACACATCGGGCCGGCACTGCACCTCCACCGACCAGCTCTCACATCCCCTGCACGCCCTGTCCCCATCACGGGCTCAGCACTGTCATAGGAGGGAGTTCCCTCGACATATTGGACATTTACACACTTCTAGGATTTTGTTCATGCTGCTCCTCAGTTGGAACACCTTGAAAGGCCTACTTGAATGTCACCACTCTCTACAGGTCCCTGGTAGGGACCCATCACCCTCTCCCTGTCTGCCGTTCCCCGCTAGGGATGTCTTCACTATATCCCTTAATGCACTGTGCACCAGGCTGCCCCTGCGCACACATCTCTCCCCAGTTAGCATCGATTGGTGCCCCAGCGCAGGTAAACTGCTGGTGGGGCTCGGGGCGGGGGATGCAGTGCGGCAGGGGAGGGAAGGGCCTCACCTTCATCAGGATCTTACAGCGTGGTGGGTCCTGACCAGGGGCGGCCACCTGGTACAGCTGGAAGAAGAGCGGGGCAAAGAGGAAGCAGGCATAGGCCGAGCGGGAGGAGTTCACAGTCCGGAGGGAGAGCTGGGCCAGGAAAAGCAGGAAGAGGGATGCAGCCGGGGGCAACGACAGGCGCAGCCCTCTGGCCTGCTCTTGCTCACACACTTGTCCTAAAGTCCTGTACCTCCACCATCACCTGCTGAAATCCTTTGTCCCCTCCCAAGCATCGTACATCATCTCCATGAAGCCCTCCCTGGGTTGCTCTCAGCAACTGCTCCCACCGCCAAGCGCTTTACACGGCTCTCAGCACACTCTGCCTTTTCCCCTCATCGTCGCCACCCTCCACCTGGCCCTTCTGGGACGGCCACTGCTCTCAATTCACACACAGGCCCGGGAAGATGACAGGGCCCAAACCCATGCCCCAGCACCAGGGGTTGGAAACTGAAATTCAGCTGACAAATTCGTCCACGGGCTTCCTAACGGGCGCAGGGGTCACTCAGGCCCAGCTTACGGCTCCCTGTTGGAATCCCACCCATCCCCACACCCCAGGCCCTCACCCCGTCTTCCAGCGGCTCCAGGTAGAGCTCATCACCGATGCGGGACAGAGAGTGGACGGCCTTGCCGAGCACTGCGAGGGCGGAGAAGAACCGGGCGTTAGGTTGGCGCCTCGGACGGTCCCACGTGCCCCCGCCCCCAAGCCAGCCCCAGCTCACCCTTCACGTTGCCGCCCGCGACCAAACACTTCATGCCGCCTCCAACCCCGAGGCCGGGCCTGGCCGGCGACTGGGCTGAGTCTGGCGGCTAGCCGGCGGCGGGCCGGCGGCGGGCTCCGACCGGACCCCAGGGCGGATCCCCTCCGGGCCTCCCCAACCGTGGATGGCCCGGGTTCTCTTCGCGCGCGCCGCCCCTGACAGCCCCGCCCCAGCCTCCTCATTGGTCCACACACCAGGGCCTCCGTCACGTGAGGAAAACGTCCGCGGTTTCCGCGGTCACGTGACGGAATCCGTAGCAGCGGTCCTTGTCACGTGAGTGGGAAGCTCCCGGTGCAGACGTCCTTCGCTCGGTCTCGGTAGCCAGGCCTGCCCGAGCCCCTGGGCACCCCTCGCGAGGGGGTCCCGCGGCGGCGGCGCACCCGAGCGCGAGGAGCACAGAGGACGCAGCTCCCGGGTGTGTGTGTGGGGGAGCTCGCTTGAGTCACCGGTTTAGTACGGATTTCCTGGGTGTCCGTCGGGGATACAAGGTCGAAACACGACCGTCCGCACCCAACCCGGGCCGGGGACTCGGATGCAAGCATCAAGCGCCAGCACTCAAAAGAGACGAAAGCCATTGCAGCCGCATCCCGCTGGGAGAGGTGGCTGTGCATCCTGGCTTGGAGTACCCTTCGTGGATCGTGTGCTTTACTCTGTGGCGAGAGACGTGGGTCTGTGAGCCCCGCAGAAGGGTGGAGCTGCCAACTGCAAGGGACACGAATGAGAAGCACTGGAAACGTTGCATTTTAGGAGGGTAGCTTCGTGCTTATGTGGCCATTGAAAAAAACTTCTGGCCCTGGTGGGTGTGTCTTAGTGGATTGAGCGCCGGCCTGCGAAGCAAGAGGTTGTCTGTTCCATTCCCAGTCAGGGCACGTGCCTGGGTTGAGGGCCAGGTCCCCAGTAGGGGGCGCAGGAGAGGCAGCCACACATTGATGTTTCTCTTCCTCTTCCTTCTCCTCTAAGAATGAATACAATCTTTTTTAAAAAAAGAAAAAATCTGGACTGTGCAAAAGAAACGGTTTCATCAGCTAGGGATGTCTCCTGGGCCCTGGGCCTCAGTTCCTCTGTGTAATGTGGAAGGAAAGTCCTTTGGGGACTCGCTGACCTCTGGTTTCCCGCAACATGAACGTTCTGGTGCTTTGAAGGGCCCGAGACATCCCTGCCATACTTGAGGGTGGGCTTTGGCCTTGCCCCTCTCGTACAGTCTGCAGCGAGGGGAATATATTTGCGGACCCCTTGCCCTCCATCCCTTAAGCTGTGATTGTGGACCTCACCTTGTTTTCCCCTGTCCTTGCCCTCAGCTCCCCACCCTCACCAGGCTTCCTTAGAGCACGGGGTGAGGTTACTGGGGATCCGTGTAAATGGTGCCGCCTCTCTGCAGGCATTTAGGTCAGTAAACTGGGAGTCATCCTTGACCTCACCCTCCCTCACCCCACATACTGCAATTCTTTGGCAAGCCCTATCTCTGTCTCCCAAACAGATGGCACCTTTAACCTTCCTCTCCATCTCCAGAGCCACCTGGCTCAGGACACAGTTGTCTCTCGCCTGGCGGACCCACTGTAGGAGCTCTTGGAGTGGTCTCCTGCCTTCAGCCAGTCTCCTCCAGTCCGCTGTCCATACAGCACCAATGTGACCTTTCTAAAATGTTGTGTCACACTTCTCCCTTGTTTAGACCCTCCAGTGGTTTCCAACTGCTACACTTGCCATAAAATTGAAACTTTTTACCCTGATCTGCAGGAGCCACCTCAGCCACCTCCTCACCTGTCTCTGGCCACCTTGGCAGCAGCCTGTCAGTTCTCTGAATCCACCACACCCTCTTCCACCTTGGGATCTCTCCGGAGGCTAGTCTCACCCCTGGAATTCAGCTCTTCCCCCTTCTCACGTGCTGGCTCCTCCTTTTCCTAGGGCTCAGCTTCAGTTGCCTGTCATTAGGCCTCTACCCCTGCCCCCTCCTCTCTTGCGAAGCCCTTGCTCTGGGTTAGTCACAGCACTTAGCACAACTCAACAGTATTTCCCGTGTGAAATATGTTTATTTAATGGCTGTCACCTCCACTGCTATGTGAGCTCGTGAGCACAGGGACCATGTCCATTTTGTTTTTTGCTGTATCCTTGTGCCTCACCCAGGGCTGATGGACATACATGTGTTCAGTGGATAAATATGTGATCCAATGAAGCTGAGCTGTTTCCGAGTCACTCTTAGCATAACCCTCTGCCCACAGCGCCCCCTCTTCTAGGGACAAGAGCTGCCCCCCACATTCTGTCAGAAGAACAAAAGAACCTGGCACAACTATTCTCTTCCTTACCTGTCCTCCTCGCTGGATCTGTCCCTGTCTTTGACCCCAGTGCAAGTCAGAGCGGCCCCCAACCTCTCCACCTCATGCCTGCTCACTGGAACAGGAGACAGAAGCTAAAGCTCCCTGGAAGGCCAGGGGCAAAAGCTCTGAATAATCACGCAGTCGGGTCTGCCCCTGGCCCATAGGGATGGAGGGCCCTGTGGCCTTGAAGTCTTTGGAGCAAGTCCCTGGGGGAAGAGAGAGAGACAAACTCATCAGGACTTTGCTTCGGTCATGCACGCACCTGCCAGAAGTTGAAATCAAGGGCTCAGACAAAGAAAGAAGCCTAGAGCTGAGAGTGAGGAAGTGTGGGTTTTTCACCAGTGCTTCAATACGGACTCACTGTGTGACTTTGTGCTGGTCCCTCCCTGTCTCTGTGGCTGTTGGTGGCAAAAGAGGCTCACTGAGGTGCCCCTCATCTGTCCACAGCTCTGGAGAGGTGCTGTAACTGGCTGTCGGGCTTCCCCCAGGCTATGGGGCTGGAAGGGAGCCCAAGAGCCTGGGGTCGAGCAGCCTCTCCAGACTTGGAGTCGGCACAGCCCATAACGCCTCTCGGGTCCCGAAGGGAGGATGCACAGTGGGGCACGAGGGCCTCAGAACTGCTAGTATCTCTTGGTGCGGGGCAGGGGATGAGCATAGGGACCCAAAGACAACTTGGGATCTGCGCCAGAAGGCAGGGGGCCTGGGTGAGTCCCAGTCCTACTGACAGAGAGCCTCAAGCAAGTCAAGGCCCTTCTCTGGGCCTCAGTTTCCTCTTGATAAAATGAAGGCATTGGATGACCTGCTCCCTCAGGACCCTTTCAAGCCCTAGATTCTTAGTCTTCACCCTACCCCACAGTAGAGGTAGCTTCCTGCAAGCACAGAAGTGTGTGGGAATGCGGGAGGGGTGGAGATGGAACTGAGAAAGGTGCTTACCGTTTCAGACTCTAAAAAGAACTCGCTGTTGGGAAATTTCTCCAGTTCAACCTCCACTTTTCACCAATTGGTCGGGAATCCCCAGAGCCCAGTATTTCATTCACTCAACACATATTAAACACACTTTTCTAAGTTCGGGAAAGGCGGTACAGCACACAAATCCCCGCTCTCCTGGGCTTCCCCTGTGCTGGAGAGAGGCGGACTAAAGGGAGCCGCCTGTGCAGGGCTCTGATGGGAGTCTGCTGGGCGGTGCAACACAGAAAATGGTATTTGGGTGGTTTTCTGGAGGAACCAAGAGGACAAGGCAGCTCTGAGCTGCTGGGGGCACTGAGCCGGCGGGGCACTGCTTGCCCACCTGTCACTGCTGCTGGTTCACCGGTGCTGGTGTGCCCATAGCCAAGCCCTGCCCAGGCTTTTCTCATTTCCCAGCCTTCCTCCCAGCAAGCAGCGCAAGCGCAGTGCGTAGCGGTGGTTTAATAAGCGCATGTTGAATGACTGAAGAGCATAGGATTCGGAGAGGTTGCAGGACCTGGACCCAGGCTGTCTGTTGAGGTGGACAGTGGGGTTCGACGCACCAGCCTGCCCCAGTCTGGGTCCTGGCTTCGCCGCTGTCAGGTTGTGTGCAAATGGACACATTGGCGATTGTCTCTGAGCCCCAGGTTACTCATCTGTAAATCGGGGGAGGAAAGGCTGTTGCCAGGATGAACTTAGTCAATGTTTATAGAGCTCTTAGCACACGCCGTCAGTGTGGCTACGGTGACTGTTGGTGTGTCCTGCCTCCTCCATTGTGGGTGTGCCCACACAGCATTCTAGGGCCAGAACCAAAAACAAAAGAAATCACCATGCGGTCAAAACCAGGGCGAATCCACACTAGGAAGCGGGGAGGAAAGCCCCCCAGAGAAGCATTATAGAGAAGAGGCCCGAAGGCCAGGGACCAGAAAGTACTCGGAGGACTCTGGTGGGGGCAGAAGTCAGTTCCAGGGAAGAGGTGAAGGGGAGGCCGTGGCTGTTGCCACTTGCCAGCTCCTCGATTCTGGGCCCTTGGCCTCTGTCTCATGACAAGAATGTGAGTCCTTCTGTCCCCAAAAGTTGCCGGAGGCAGGCATGAAGCATGGGCTGGGCCCACGCTGTCAGGCACGGTACACAGAGACCAGGTCTCCCCAGTCTGCAGGGTGGGCGGTGGAGGGGAGATGGGAGGGAATTTTTTAAACCCACAGCAGGAATGGAAAGGGGGAAGCTCAGACTTGTTCACTGAAACCTGGCACGCTGGAGTTGCAGGGCCCCCTTGGAGCGCAAGTACAGTAAGTGTAGGACAAATCAAAGACAGTGCGCTTCACCCAGCGGGGAGGATAGCGATGGAACGCATTACTCCAGCTGTGGTCTCGGCTGGGAATATAAATAGCTTCACAAAAGGTTTAGATAAATCCGTGGATGACAGCTCCATTCATGGGTTAGAGGGGAAGGAAGCTGTTTGGGGCCTGCTGGTGGGTGGGGAAAGCCTCAGCATGGCAACCTGGCCTCCCTAACGGCACTTCAAGGGCTTCAGACCACAGGGACCCCAGGTGGCAGCACCAGTGCTCCTGCAAGCTGGAGCCTGGCCCGAGTCCCCTGGCTGCTTCCTCAACCCAACACTCACCATCCACTGTCTGGGCAGACACGGGCACCACGGGCTCCCAGGGAGCGCCCTAGCCAGGCTGTCCCCTACGGGACCAGCAGAGGGAGACAGACACCGTGTCCAGTCGAGCTCCCAGAA